GACAAAGGAATATATTTTTTGGCTGAAATTTTCAGAGTATTTCAAGAGTCGTTAGATCTTCCTATGGACAAAATTATAGGTCGAAAGTCTGTTATTTAACTTTCTATCAAATACATAAAAATTGATCGACAATTTTGTAAAACAGTTATAACTCGGTCCCAAAAGCTCATAGACATGAATCCTTTTAAGTTTTTTCTGGTCTTACCAAGATTTTCTTGTGAACTTAAACAATGAGTTACAGTTCGGATAGTTTCCTCGTTAATAATGAATTTCGGAATGGTTAATTTTCGATTTCGATTAACTAATCGAAAGTTGATGTTTCTCACTATATCTATGAGAATAAAAAATTGATTCTAACAGACTAAAAAAAAATACTTCGTTGAGAAAAATGCTGCGTACTCTTTCGTAGAAACAATTATTTGTTGTTGTTTTTTTTGAACTATCAGTTTCTCGATAATTGTCATTCGAATTGGTTTCGCATGTGAGTATCGATTGGTATGCCATCTAGTAGTTTTGAAATATATAATACAATACCATTCTTTATTGTCTTTTTTGTCGCTTTCTGTGCTTCTACTTTCGTTTTTTTTTATTCATGGTTTCTTTATCTTTAATATTTTGAGATATTTTTTCATCTACAAATAGGGACATACAAGTACATGATCGATTTTAATTCTATACCATCGAAGAGAGATGGTGGACAAATTGCTGCCAATATAGAAATGCATGTTTTATATTATTTTACATTCTTATATTGTCAATATTTTATTTCTATTAGTTTTATAAATTCGAAAGTATTTGATAAATCAGGTATAAAAAATTGTGAAAAAAGGCGGAAATAATACAATCGATTTTCAAGTTGCTCGTGAAGAAGCCAATAAAATTTGTAATAGACTTCCGCAAATATTTCCAAGCCAAAAATTCATCTGTTCTGTTTTGTATTCTTTCGGATCCTCTTCATTCACTTATATCACGTTCATTGATAATGATTGATCATATTCGACATGAAAGATCAACATTTTTTGTATCATATCAATTCAGTTCTCTTCAATCATGGGATCAATTTTATTCACATGTTCCATTTGATAATAAAATTATTCCAGTTTCATTTAAATCAGGAGGATCAATACCAGACAGTACATATATATATTGGATTTGATGATATACGTTGAATAATTCCATTTGACTCAATTCAAAAAAAAATATTATACTTTGGAGAAAGTGTTTGGTTTTTGACATGATAGAACTGCTTTCATTAATCAATGGAATTATCTTTTCCTCAATAATAAAACAATACAAAGGTCCGATATTTCCTTCAACGACCGTCACTATCCAGCAGCTATTTTCTTTGCAGTTAGAAAATTCTCTCTTTGTCTCAGTCAAACGAGATAAATACTCACTTATAAACAAAAACAAGAGTGCATATGAAATATGTCCATTATGCATGTAATGCATTCATTACTTCTTCGTCGTTTAAGCAGTGCTTGTCGAATGGCTCTTTACATTACAAAATGATCGTTGCAATTGTTGATGCCTTTGGTCCTATTTTATTTGTAGTTTTCAACTATTTTCCAAATCTAGTATTTTATTGTTTCAGAAAAAACAACTGATGTTGGATATCATGATGAAAGTTTCCAAATAAATGCAATACTAGTTCAAGTTTCAAACAGTATGCTCTTCAATCTAATACCAATACCGTTGAAACAATGTAATCAAGTTTGAAAAGAAAAAGAACTGCTGCCTTCAATGACTATCGAGTGTGACTTGTAAACGACTTCTTGAAAAGGTACCATAAAAAAAAGGATAATCTAAAATGACCGAACTTGAATCAGTGAAACAACCAATTGAGTATGATACTGTCGATTTTGAAAAAATAAACATCCTATTCCTATCTGTTAATAAGTGTTTTTTATACAGTGAGATGTTCGCTTCAGAGGTAAGTATAATTGCGAATGAAACTCAAAAAATAAAAATCTTTTCTATCATATGTACAATGTTTTATTCACTATGAAGATGTTAATGATTGTCCCAATCTTTCTGTCCGATGTATCTTTGTCCAGTTTATATGTTATACGAAACAGTACTTATTCAAATAGTATATTTTACTATATTTTCAGATGACAAAACATCGCTTTTTTTTCCTTCACTGGTAGATAAACTTATTCAAGCAAAATACAAATAATGTATGTACATAAACATGATTTTTGAACTATTAGATCAATCTGTATTCTATTAAATGAAAAATTGAATATATATTTTTTTTAAATATTCACCGTAAGCAACACTATTGTTTAATATCAATACTAATATTGACCATCATATTGATTTGCTTGTCGGAAATAATGATTTTTCTATTAATGAACAAGCCGATGAAATTGATGACACGCTCGTTCTTTAGAAAAAAACAATCTCAATAATGAAAATTCATATCAACTAAAAATCGAAAATAACATTTACTGTTCAGTATCAAACTCGAAGCTCATCTTGCAAGTTTAAGCGTATATAAAAATCAGAAGAAAATGTTTACTAGGAAAGATAAATAGGTGAGATGTTGAAGATGAATCTCTTATATTTTATATTCTTCACACTCGTAAAAAACTGAACTGCATGCTTTCATACAGATGGATGGCGAAAACTTATTTATGTCATCATTAGTCTACACAAATAAACGTGGGCTAAAAAAAAACGTCAATACTAATTGATAAGAACGACAAAAAAAACAAACTAGTAATATCATAATTGTTCTATTTTTAAGGTCATTATAACCATATTACGCGTAATACAAACAATAGACTTTAGATAAGAAAATTTCGCACTTAAGTTTCTTTTTTAAGCTCAAATGTAGTAGAAAATTAGAAGTAAAGAATAGAAAATGATTCAGACTCCAGTAAAAGTTTCTCGACTTTTTTTTCAGTATTCGTTTCATTCTCTAATTTTCGGATGTTTGATAAAATATTAGTATCTGTTCGCGATGATAATTACATAGCATTATAATTTAAGAAAATATAACGAAATTTTAATGTGCGCTTGTTAATATGATTTATGAAACAGCTTGTTTTTATTATATGATGACCTTCGATTAACAAGAACATATTTGATTATCATATTTTTCTGTGAACCGTAATCGAAACATTAGTGATATTCTGTTTGCCATTCCTCTTTTTCATTGTTATGAAACTTCATTAGAAACTCATTTTCCTTTAATAATGAGTAAAATAAAAAATTATATTTTGATCTTTTCATGAAATATAGAATATCTTAAATCGATGATTCATTACCTGACCTCATTTATAATCGAACACTTCTAGCTTATCTATTTCTGTAACAAACAAGAAAAATTTTGGAATATTATTAACACCAATACATATGTTCTATATTGTGAAAAAATCAGAGAAAAACTAAATATTTCTAAAACAAATAAATTAGCAAAAAAGTTAAAGTTTCGAATGATCCTCAAACCCACGAGTTTATCAAACATTTCTTATTAGGAAAAAAAGAAAGATACTTTTTAATGAAACTATGATAAAATCTCTATTCATCTAAACAGACTCTATCAACAATTATATGAGAGTATTTTGTATTTTTATCATTTATTAAGATAATTATATTTTTACATATGAAACAGTTTCTGATCGACGGATATTATAGTAGCCGGACGTCTCAAAAGAATATAAAATTAGCCTTTCAGGTAATTGCATTCTATAAGACTTAAAACAAACAAAACTATCTCTTACAATACTTATAAATGTTTTATAGATCAACACTGGTGTTGTTTGTACTCAAAAAAGGCTTTTTCGAAGATGAATCCCTAATACAAAAAATTTATTATAATGATATAAAATCATTTAAGATCGATATTTGAGCGAAATTTCATTCATAAAAGATGTTTTCTTGACAAATCTATTGCATAATTTTTTGTAAAATCTTTATAAGTAGAAAATGTTCTATTTTCTTATAAACTGATTATCGTCATAAACATTTTTCAGGAATGAAAGTTGTATCGACGACAAGATCATACATACAGTAAAGAAAAAGTGGATTTATTGAAAACTTACAATACTGTTCATTTTAAATTTTCAAATAAGTTAATCTCAATAATTATAAATTTCGATCAGTTACAATTTCAATTATTATTACAACGAAAACGTGAACTCGACTATAACATCAAAAATTGAAAACTAATACCTATCAATGAAAATAATCTTGTTTTTCTTTTTTGAAAAAATTTTCTTTCAAGCACATTTGTTGACATTTTTCTTTTATCTTCGAAAGTAATAAATTCGATATATTCTTCATATATATTGTTTTTCTTTTATTTCTGACATCATGAATGTGATCTTTTGAACAAAAAAAAAAAAAAAAAGAAAAGAAAAAAGAAACGAACAATAGTGTTATGTTGGTATGTGTAATGTAGACTGCACACATAAAGAAAGAGAAAAAAAAACAAACAAACAAACAAACCAAAAGAAGACAAAAAAAAAGAGGACGACGACAATCATCATCAGCAGTACAACAATTAAGTAGCAAGAGAAAAAAATTTAGAGAACAAATATAAGTATAGTGTATATATGAATGTGTGTGTGTGTTTCAAAAGATTCAAAAGAAAACAAAAAAAAAAAACATGTGAAAATATGTGTGTACGCATACACAAAAAAAAATGTGATTGATGGAAGATATTGATGTTGATTGTCGAAACAATCTACTCAATCGAAGAGAAAAGAAATGCGATCGACCACACACACACACACTGTTCACAGGTCGCGGCGCGCATCTAAATTCTTTTCTTTTTGTGTTTTTTTTTGTATAGAAACAAAACAATGTATCGAAACATGAGGCAAGTGGCTTTTCTTCTTTTTTTTTTATAAAAAAAAATTTTTTTCAAGAGAACGAAACAAAAAAAAAACACGGATAGAGAAAGAGATAACTAGGAACAGGCGCTGTACACTGATGAAAAAAAAGAAAAAGAAAAAGATACAGAAAAAGAGAAAACTATGAGCACGTTATCATTTTTTAGTGGCACGTGCTGATGATGATCGACCTGCATCAGTACTAGTCGGTAATTGTTGTTTGGAATTATTCGATGCTGATTGTGGTGGTTGCATTTGATGAAAATCTTTTGGAGTTCGTCGATAAACAGCTAAAAATGAAAAATAATATACATTTATTTTATATTTTATTATTTAAGAAATAAAATCAAGAGCAAAAAGCGTTTCAAATAGAAGAAACAACAAGATAGAAATGGATCGAAAGCAATTGAAGAAAGTATAAGGCGTGTAAATGATGGTATGTGTATGTGCGCGCAATATCTTTAATAGCAAGAGAGAAATCTTACACACAAAAATATTCATTATGACTACCTCTCTCTTTTTCTCTTTCTTTTTTTTTTATTTTCTAAATATTTTATTATTTCATTTTAGATTTGGTCGTTGGTCGTTCAGTTTCATCAAATTCTAAAGAAAATAATAATACATGGAAAAATAACATAATTTTTCTTTTTTTCCATTGATTTCTGATATATTATAGAGATAGATTGAGAAACGATATTAGATTTCTGAAAAAACTCCATGATAACAGCAGCAATAAGATAGAAAATATTCATAGTAAGCAGTAGTAGCCGTGTTTGTTTTTGTGTTTTGTTGGTAAGTATTTTTTATTTTTATATTATTTGAACATGCATCTCACTCTGCAACAGACGACTAAATACATTTGAATGTGATGCTGTTTTATTCACTTGTTCATGAACCATATTTGTATTTTTATTATCATGATTAGTATTGGAAGATGATTTGTAAAGTCTTTTTTCTTTATTATCTTCAGGAAATTTTTCATTGGTCATTTGTCCATTATCATCATTTATACTCATTGATTGACCGAATGGCGTTTGATCATTTTCATCAAGACTTTCTAATTCTTATTATGAAAATAAAAATTTGTTGTTATTTATTTTTTTTCTTTTTTGTTGAGATTCAAATATTATGAATGATAAATATTTTTTGGGACAAAAAATAAAAAAGAAAAGTATTCGCAAAAAGAAAAATATTTGCTATTCTCTTAACTCACCTTGATTGGTTGTATATATTTGTTGTGTATTTTGTTGTTGTGTACCATTATAACCATTTGTTTCAACTTTATTTGTCGATCCTTCATTAGCACTGTTCGTATCAAAGCGTTGACCGCTCTAAATAAATTCAAATTATTTAACGAAAAAGGACAAATAAAAAAAAGATTCTATACAAATTTGAGCATATTCCAATCAAATACATAATCATAAGTAAAACCTTGTCGATGAAATAAATTACGAAATAATTGTCGTAAATATCTAACAAAAAGAAAATTTTTTTTTAAATTTGAATAAAAATGTTTTTAAACATACGAATAATCTGGTTTATCATCAAAACGTAATGAACGACAATAAGAAAGATAAGTAGTAAATTCAGCTAAAATTAAAGAGACAAAGCGACGACCAATTTTAATTGATTAGAAAATAAACGTTTCCTACCAGGAAATCCTTTACATAATTCTTCAATAGGTGTTGACATTTTTTTTTCACTAATACGTTCATATTTTTGACGTTTTGTTGCTGCTTTTAAACCTTGCCACTAGAATTTTTTTATTTTATTTTAATACATCCATAAATTCAAATATTCAAAAAAAAAACATACTGGAAGACTACCACGATTAAAATACATAAGCACATAACCGAGTGATTCCATATCATCACGGCGACTTTGTTCTATTAATACAAAAAAAAACCCTATAATATGGATTGAATTCAAAAAAAAACAAAGATTCCACACATCTCTACTTATTGCATATATTGTCAATAAAACAGAAATTAGTATTCAAGTACATAGCGAAAACTTCTAAGTCTACTATTGATTTAAATACATGTGACGAAAAAAAAACTTTCTTTTTCAGGTCGTGTTAAACTTAGCAGGAGTACAAAAAAAAAACATATCGGCTCTTTATGAGATCGAACTATTCGATTGAAATTCAACCGTTAATAATCCAATATTGGTTACTGAAAAAAAAAAACCAAAATTTTTGCATGACTAATATCATAGAGAAATAAAATCTATTGTTTCAAAAAAAAGAGAATCTTACTCTTCGCCAACTGTTTGGCGCGGATTGTGAACTTTCACCGGTGGTATGAATATACTGTATACGTGAGAACTATGCCAAATGTATCTTGATGCTTGCACTTATGAATGCAAGTCAAATAAATCTTTCTTATATAACAATTGGAGAAAGCTCTAGAGATTAAAATTGTAACCGATCCAGTTTTCATCGGTTGAAAATAATTTTTTTTTTTAGAGAGATTAGGTTTTGTCTGAAAAGACTGAGTGAGGAAATTTAAGATTTGAAGTTTAATAATCAGTTCATGAGTAAATGATTCTATTGTTTGTGTTATCTATAGAAATAGATCATATTCATATTTGAGAAACCTAAGGAATATAGACGACTATAAAATAATATTTCTTTCTGAAGATTCGTAAAAAATCTCAGTGCAAAAACGAAAATGAATTTTTCTTTTTGAAGATATTCTCATTAATCGATTAATGTCGATCCCACGAAATGGTTGAAAAATTTTTTGACCCAGCCCAACCTGTTACAACTCTGATACGCACAAACTTTTGGTAATCATAGAAATATGACCTAAAAGAAATGTTAAAAAATACCGGAATAAAAGTTCAAACTCCTCGTCCTTACTACGCTCGTGACAGACACGCTATAGATCGACCATGACAAACCGTGACAAGCTTAACCATGTGAACGCTATAGACCGTGACCGACCTAGTTGATATACAATCATAGACATTATACCAATAACGTCTCGTTGTAACATATGAACTACTTTCATATTGCATTTCTGAAGAAACAAAACTACGATGAAGAAAATGTATTTCAACCTTTAATCCTACATGAATTATGCTAGCAACTATTCGTCTTTTGGTTTAAGGTTTTATGGCTTTCTAAAACAAAATAGTTCATGTACTTGACAGCTGATTCCAAATTTCAATGATCGATTTTTCTCTCTCATATTTAAACTCAAACAAAACAAGTTTGCATTAAATGTAGAGCTCTAATCTACGTAATAGTTTGGATGGTATTATGTAAGAATAGCAAAAGCATATTGATTGACAGTGATGATCAACAAAAAAAAATATGATACTTTGAAAATAGTACCTATTTTGATAAAAGCTTTATAACTTGCATCTCAAAACCTATTCTCAAAGGAAAATCAACACAGACAGATAAACGTTTTTCTTTTACTGCATTCCAAAAATCCAATCGATTCAAATATTCCAATCAGTTTAGGTACAAGAAGTATGAGTCGTTTATTCTTCCTCAAGATTTTTTTATGTTTAAAAGAAACGAAAACAAAACAAAATAACAAACCAATGCCAAGATGTGTATTAATTGAAGCATAACGTGCTGTTCCAGTTAAATTTTTATTTTCTCTATATGGTATATGTTGATGTGTACGTGCATCTCTATATTTTTTTGCAAGGCCAAAATCAATGATATAGACAAGATTGCCTTTTCTCCCAAGGCCCATTAAAAAATTGTCTAAAGAGAAAAAAAAAAAAATATCATTTTAGAGAAAAAAAAAAAATATCATTTTATGGAACAAAAAAAGAATTAATTTACCAGGTTTTATATCTCGATGAATAAAATTTTTTGAATGAATAAAATCAATACGACTAACCTAAAATTCAATTATATTATCATTATTATTTGTTTAAAAAAATGTTTCTTTTTCTACCATTTGATCAGCAAGTAAAAGAACAGTTTTAAGTGAAAATTTTCTTGAACAAAAATTAAATAAATCTTCTAATGAAGGTCCAAGTAAATCCATAACAAGTACATTATAATCTCCTTCAGCACCACACCATTTAATTAATGGTATACCAACACCACCTTGCATCATTCGATAAATTTTTGATTCAATATGTAATTGTGGATGTTTTGTTCGAACACATTCAAGTTTAATAGCTACTTCTTCATTTGATGCTATATTTGTACCAAGATAAATATCACCAAATGAACCTGAACCAATTTTTCGTCCAAGTCGATATTTATGACCAACACGTAGTTCCATTTTTTTTTTGAATTTTGTTATTAGGGGGGAGGGAAAAAAATAATTAAATGAAAAAAGGGGTTGTCAGAAAAATCTTCTTTTTGTTTGGACCTTTTTTTTTTTAAATAGTTATTTTATTGACGATTATCCATCGTTTGCATTATTGGCTATTAAGAGAAACAACAATCTGAAAATATACGAAAAAGAAAAACAAAAAGAAAACACTCAGCTGATGCGTAGATGCATTGAACCATCAGCATGATTTGGCCCTCTTTTATAAATGACGTTATTTGTTATTTGTTTTCTATGAATGTTTCTTTGTGTTATTAGTTAAAACCAATGAAATATAAGATGCGCCACATGTCCATATGATTTCGACGATGTGTGGCGCTATATATTTATATTTATATTTAGAATATATTATTTCTCAATCTAAGAGAAAAAAAAAAACAAAACATCATGATTATTATAGTGGATTTTGACTCAGGATAAAGAAATGATTGATCTTTTATATTAATTCTATTACATTTTAGCCTTAAAAAAAGAAACAAAAAAAAAGTAATATGGAACTAGGAGAACTTCAAAATCTTATAAGTAAAGCAATTGAACAGATAAAAGCTGATCAAATTGTCCCACTTATGAATTGGCTCGATGGAGAAGTTTCCAAGTATCGAATTGCAGGTTTATGTAAGTATTTTAATTTATAAGAAAGATTTTATTTCTATTTGTTTTTGATAATATTAATTTATAGAAAAATAAAAGATAATAGAAAACTTTTCAAATTTCAAAATGTTTTATCTGTGTTCGGATGAGAATTAAAAAATTTTTGGCTGTTAAATATTAATTTCTTAATTAATTGAATTTTCAATTAGAAATCATTTTGAAACATTAGAAATTTTGTCACTTTTGTTTTTTTTTTTAATTATTGAAATGTATTTTTAGAATTAAATCTACTTCCTAGTTTACATATTGATTGGATCGTCTTTATTAGAATACGATATTTAAGTGTATCCAAAGTCGATATATAATAATTTCGATTGATTTCTATATATTAAACCAGAAGTTCAATTACATTGTAAAACGTTCAAAATTGATCTTGAATTGGTTTTATTGACAAAAAAATAAAACAATAAACGCTTGTATAATTATAAATATATGTCCTTTATGACTCATTGATAAGCTTGGTACATGTTGATCCGTACTTATCAATTAGAGAATGCTGTACGTCCTCAAAATATCCTACTTTCTGGCAATTTTTTACGGATTCACGGTCACTTTGGATAGAAACTGGATTTTGAAATCCTGTTCGCCTTTTCTCTAGCAGAAAGTGAAATAAAAATAAGCAGACAATGTTGTTCTGAGATGAATAGGATTAAGAGAGGAACGGCATAATAGTACGAGCTGGGTCATGATGCCTTTCGTTTTCTTTTCTCAGTTATCACTTCGAGGATGAATGGACTTACTATCAATTTCAGCTCCTCATATTCCTAAAAAATATCAATCAAGAACGAAAGAACGGACAATATGCTGAGTCAGATTTTTCTAATCTCGATTCAGTTCTTAGAATTTCTTTTTCCTATAATCTCGATCTAAAGCAGTATTTTATTCAACGAGAGCGCGACGTTCGTCCGAAGATCGGCTTCATTCTTCTAAAAGATAAAAATCTGAATAAAACAATGTTATTTTAGTATCAACTCCAATTCAATCAGTAATTACTCCTAAAATAAATACTGGACAACGTTTTGTATGTACTTGTGGTCGATCATTTGCTGCTGAAATAACAATACATGAAACGACAAATGTTGAAACAAGTTCACCACCAGCTACGCCAATGTTTATGTTTAAAAATGATCTCAAACATCAACAATATTCACAAGAACCTATTTCAAAACGACCTAGAATATTAATGGTTGAACCACTAACATCTGTTATTCCAACAACAGCAGCAACGTCATCATCGTCATCATCATCATCAACAACAACAGCATCAACATTAGCTGATCGATTAAATTCATCTACGATTGTTTCAAATTGGCAAATAACAAATCTTAAAACTTATGAAGATAGTCCAGGTTTGTATTTTGATATTTCCTATCAAAACATTTATTTTTGTTTTTCTTTTAAGAATTAATGACAGGCGAATCAAATCGAGGTGAAAGTGATATTGAATTATCAAGTGATGAATCAAGATGTTTGGAAGATATTGACGCTGTTTTATCACCAGATAAAAATACTGTATCAAATTTTATTTATTCAAGTAGTTTATGGCCACCATCTCTATCTCCGTCTACAAATGGTTGTTTATCTTATTCAACTCATAATCATGAAGATAATCGACAACATCATCAACAACAAATGATATCACTTAAACCAATAATTAATGAACCATTATCACCCGTACCAGCTCATATTCATGATGGAGAATCAGGGAAAACAGTTGCAACAATACATCGTCGACCAATGCTTGTTGCATTTACAGATCCAGAAGCTTGTTCACCGACAAGACCAACACATTTTAAATGTACACAATGTCATGAAACATTTGATAGTTTATTACTTGGACAAGAACATGCTAATAATGGCATGTGTATATCTGATACAACAATTAACGTATGTCATAGATTCATTTTGTTTTTTGTTTTCAGGCATGACTAAAAAACAATGACATTGAACTTAAATATACTGTAACATGTAATAAAAACAAAACAATTATTAGCAAAGTTTTTATGAAAAAATATTTTTAATATGCAGTTGTAATATATTAATGAATGATGAAAGACAAGCATCTTAAATTCTATTTTCACATCATAGATTTTAATCGATATTACTAAGACTTCGTCACAGATACATTAGGAACTAACGAATGAATATAATAATTTCGTCATAGACCAAGGTCATCGATTAGGAAGCGGAGAGGGAGGATTTTGTCTTCTGAAAAAAATTGTTGACTTTCTGCAAACGTTTTTAGTCTCGCGGGAAATCATAGTAGAAAGTGAATTTTAGCTCTCTGCTTCTGACAACGATTCATACGAAGATGCTTTCTCTCAAACAAAATACTACAGAAAGTCAATGATTTCAGTAGCTTCTGTTCGACCTCTACCAGAAAGACGAACAAAGACACTTTCTGCCCTTCTCGTTTGAATTTTGCACGGGCACGACTTTTTGTAATCGGACTTGGATAACTTTGCCCAATACCCATTCCATCAGCAGTAATAATAAAACATCATCTCAAATTCCTCAAAAAAGCAAGTGATGCATGATTTACTTGGTGTCTTTCTATTTGTAAAACCACGTCAATTTCGTTAAGTATATGTTTCCTGGTTGCTGATGACGCTGGAATGGAACGTAGTGTTGACGTCAAATGTTATTATTGTGAATATATACATGAATGCTTTTTCCATCACGATAATAAATGTTTACCTTTTCTGACAATTCATTTTCCTTTCCATATATCCAATTACTTCTTCATGTGGTTTATCATCATCATTTATAGATGAATTTTCATTAAAAATGATTTCTTGTACTATAACAAGATTGATTTCTATTTCGGTAATCTGTTCTCAAGTACAATAAATTACTTAGGTTTTTTCACTTCTATGCTTTTATATAAATAGCAGTTTGCAAAAATGAAAAAAATTTTGAAATGCCGAGATCTCATTAATTGCCAGCTCATACCCGGAGCTGCTTGGGCTCGGTGAGTTTGTACTCAAACCCATGCTGTAGATCGCGCCAGATGGTGGGTATCCGACCAAGTTGCACGACACTATCTTCCACTCTCAAAAACAATCAGAAATCCTGATTATTTTCATGTTCGAATCAGATACATTTTGTTTTTGATTACTAATTTATCTTACACATGACTTTATGTAATTCTGATGGATGAAGATCATCGAATTCAAACATGAGGTCTATCCTTAACACAAGAAAAAATTCTAGTATAATTGACCTAGAGATATTTCAGTTATAACTAAATACTAGAAAGATGATCGAACAAAAAAAACAAATAATTTTCAATATATAGAAAATAATTGATAGTTTTTTCTTTTTTAGGTACTTGACAATTCTGATTCCCATGTATCACCTACAACACCATTATTTGATTCTCTTCAAGAAAATGTGGTATAAAAAAAAACGAATTCAATCGATAAATTTCTTTTTTATCTCTCATCTAATTAGGAAGAAGTACTTAATGTTCGACTGGATTCAAAAGCAGCTTGTCCAATTTGTATGATAATTAATTTTGAAGAAAAAAAACTAATTTGATTATTCAAAAAAATAAATTAATTGTTTCTTTTTTTTTTTTGTCTTATTTAGGTAATAAAGTATTTAGTAGTGTTCATACAATGATACGTCATAAAACATCAATACATGATAGACAAGTTCGATATGGATGCAATATTTGTGGTCGTTTCTTTTTTCGTAAAGATAAATTAACATCACATATGGTATATCATCAAGATTTTGATACATATGTTTGTTGTTTTTGTTCACTTGGATGTAAATCACGCATGTTAATGAGACAACATTTAAAACGAGAGTAAATATTGTTTTCAATTATTTTAATATAATTAGAAACAAAAAAAAACAAAAAAAGATTATGTTTGTTTTTTTTTTCTTATCATTTTAGTCATGTTATATCAGGTGAAGATATCGGTTTTAATGACATACTTAGTCGATGTCAAGTTAAAAAATCTTTAAATATAGAAACAAATATGTCTGTTGCATATGGTGCTGATAGACAAATAACATCTTTAAAACGAAATATAAATATCATTTCAGCTGAAAGCGATATTAAGCAAACGGCTAGTAATTAATTTTTGTTTTTGTTTTTTGTATATATCAAGTCGTCATACAGTGGGCGCTATAGTTTTTTTTTTTTTGTTTTTCGTTTTCTTCTACTTCGATGTAGCCTTTAGATATATGATCATCTATCTGCTGATTGTACATTTTATGTATACGTATGTATAGATATATATATATACATATATATATATTTCTTTTTTTTTTTGTTCTGTTTATACGAGACAGACTACTAGAAAAACAAGACACTTGACTAAAAAAAAACGAATATATTAAACATGCGAAAATTTAATTATTATTTAAATTTTATTTTTCACGATTTAATGTTGTTTATATAACGACAAAACTCGATTTTTTGTTTCTCGTGATGATCTAATTCATTTTTATTTAAATGAAATTTATAAATTTAATGTATGTTTCATTCCAATATTAAGAAAGTTTTGTATAATAAAAAAAAAAAAAAGAAAAGTTAAAAATAAAATATTACAAAATGAGAGAAAACGAAAACATTTTTTAACTACTTATGATTCAATCTGTTCATATAATTTTACGAAAATAATTGATTTGATTTTAGTTTTGTTTAGTTATTCATGTTCGCCTAGAACTATGATAAATATCTAAGTAATTTTATTTGACCTTGTGTATGATATTTTGATAGAGCTATTCAATAATAAATTGCTTTATTATAATTACTATTTAAACTAAAAACAAGAAAAACATGAAATCTTTTATAGGTTAACTAGTAATATTAAATAGTATTAATATTAATGATTGATGACATGCGATTCATATAGAATAAGTCACGGTTAAACTTTTAGTATATATTAATAATGATATTAATTTGTGTTATATCTTTCGAAAAGATAGATATAACAAACTAGATGGTATTCAAGTTTCGACTCGGATACGAAATGTGGTGCGAAGCACAAAATATCGATTTTATGATTTATCGGAAATCGTTTTTTTTTCGAAACGACATGCACGTTTCACTGAAATCAGCGTTTCACTCTGTAATTGCATCGACGTATTTCTAATGAACGATATTCATTGATCATTTAATTATCTACATAACTCATTATCTATAATCAGCTGCGTTCACAGCTGTATTCTATATGAGAAATGAGAATGGGATCTAACTTTTGTTTTAATTATCTCGAAGCTTGAAAAATCAAAGTCCTGAAAATTTTATCTTTTTTGGACGCTACTTACAAGCGAACCGAACGTCCTGAAGAGGATTGAAAAAAATTGTAGTGGCTCCATCTCGATATTTTCATCTCACGTTTGAACGGATATTTTCCGAGTTTCCATTCTCGTGATTATCGCGAGAAAAAATGGCAACGCAGGACGAGATATCTCGGACTCGGATCCTATCGGGTGTCCTGTGTAATCCGATAATTTCCGGCAGAATCCCATAGGAAATTACTGGAATCCTTGGTATCGGGTTCCAATAGGAAGTTATCGGAAAGTACAGGATCAGATGGGGAAATTTTGATGTGTACGTCGAGAAAGTCAGTTAAAAAGAAAAAAAAAACTCGTGAAGGACTATATAAATGCTATGCTTTACACCACATTAATAAACAGATTCGATAATAAAAACAAGAATTGGTAAAACTTTTCAAGTTAGGAATGAACTATATTTTTATAAAAAAATTATTTTTTCTCATTGACTATATAGAAATTATTCGGTATATTTACAAACTGCATATTGCATATAAGGTCATCAAACCATTACACAGTAGTACTTTGAGAATAACAACAATTTAATAATTGTACATTTTTGCTAAATTACTCATTTATATTGCAGAATCAATTGAACAATTTTTTACTCATATCAAAATATATTAAAATATCGAACAGATGAATAATTTAAAAAAATTATCATAATACATCCTATATAATCGCTTTGAGTCTTAGCAAAATATTGTAATCTTTTACACTATCATTTTATCTTTCAACTTTTAAATATATGTTTTTAAACTTTTTAAAAAATGTTATATATCTGTCTTTTCTCACTCAAATACAATATGTAAGAAAACAAAGATTTTCAATTTCAAAAGTGAAAATAAACATCATATTCTTTTTTTTTGTTTTGTTAGTCATTTTCTAGTTAGTCGTTGGTCTTCTGAACATCCCAATAAAGTTGGTGATACGTTGACCAATTGACCGAAAGAAATTACGAATGAGAACACGTCTTTTTTTTTCTGTTAATGATGTTGTGTATGATCGTCAAGTCATATGCAACAAAGAAATGACGATATTGATGTTGATTGATCACAAAATCAAAATCCTTATTGGATTCTAAACATCGCCATTGCAATGCATTTGTATCAATTCGACCGATAACTTCTTCCAACATCATTATTTCAAACGTTTCGCCTTGCTCAAATATTCTTTCTAACGATGCGTCCAATCGTTGAGCATTGACTAACGAACAATACAATAGGTACTTGTCTTCAAAGTCAACGTGAACTGGTTCAAAATAATGCACAAGCTCGTGCAGAATAATCACCGCCACAAATAACTACCGATTATTATCATTGTCAATATCAAAAATATTAAGTGAAATGGCAGTGAATGGATATTCGTACTCTGCTAAAGTACATGCATTCACGGGTTTGTCAACAATTCTCAATTGACAATTATCAAGAATCACCGTGAAATTATTTAGATGTTGCTGAAGCAAATATCACTGTTCTGTCGTCGGTAAAGGTATATGTTCAATCATTTGACGGGTCAGTTGCTCAGCAACATATGGAATAGAATATTGATACTCTCTACAATTCCATAAATACCAGTAGTAATGAATAAAATATGTACAATAGTCAAACATGATTGAAATAGAAATGATGAACATAATAAACGAAGATTTCATTCTATTCTTTGTAGATGAATAGAAGAATTATATATACGAATATATTTTCGGATTAAATCGAAAAACGAGAGTTTTATTCTTTGTCCAATAAAAATACATATCTAATTGGTACATATAAATACAAGCACATCTTTCTTCATTTTAGTCAGGTACATTGAATACGCTAAAATATTAAGCAAATAAAACTATCAGTTTCGATTCCATTTCGGCCATGTTAAAAGTATTTCTAAATTAGAAGCACTGATTTTATATGATTTACGCTAAGTCAGGGTGAGTTAAAATGAGCTAAGATGATCTAAGGTGATTTTATATGATTTAGGATGAGTTAATGTGAGCTATAGTGATTTATTTGATTAAGTGTGAGTTACGCTGATTTAAATCAGTTGTTTTCCCCTTGTTCCTATGTCTATTAAGATTCAGACAGATACTAAACTCTCTGATAAACTAGATAGACAACACCAACAGCTACAATTGTATTTGATACATATTGATGGTAATCTTTGAGTTAAAGATCATCTAGAATTAATTATTCGAATAAATTTTTTAAAATGTTTATCGAAGGAAATCTACAAATATACTAAATTAGAATTTAGATTTATTATTATTTTATACCTTTTCTAAATGATAAACAGAATTTTTTTGTTTTTATTCAATTCAATTCAATTCAATTTTATTTGAATATAAGAAAAAAGAGAAGCAATTAAAATAATAAAGTATATTCATTGTTTAAAGACATTTTCGATGTACAATCGATGGACCGAATTCATCATATTCATGTTTCGATATCCACATAGTTTCAAATGTTGCTAATGAACTAAGAACTGAACCACCAATCCATACTGTATGTTTTCTTTCAGATGGAGCAATAATTTTAACTTTCTTAGTTGATGGTGCTAATATTTTAATTTCTTTTTCAATTCGATTAGCAATACCTGGATACATAGTTGTACCTTTAAATAATAAATAAAATATGATCAATTATAACTTAAGAATATAAAATTTACCTCCAGATAAAACTATATTTACATATAATTCTTTTCGTACATCAATATCACATTTCATAATTGTATTATAAACTATTTGAGCAATACCATCTTCTTCACTACCAATCATAGATGGTGTAAAAAGTGCTTCAGGACATTTAAATCGTTCATTACCAATTGTTATTATATGACCATCAGGTAATTCATAATTTGTTTCAATATTATTCGATATACTAGAAGTTATTAATTCTTGTTCGAAATTTAATGCAACATAACATAATTTTTCTTTTATATCACGAACAATTTCACGTTCAGATGTTGATGTCAATGCATAACCACGTTCCGTCAATAATCGAACCATCCAATTAGTTAGATCTCGTCCAGCTAAATCTAGACGATTAATTGCATGTGTTAAAGCATAACCTACAGAATCCAATGTTTAATTTCAGTAAGAAAAGATGAGAAAAAAAGAAATTTTTACCTTCATAGATCGGTACTGTATGAGACACACCATCACCACTATCCAAAACAACACCTATTGTTCGACCACTTGCATAAAGTGAAAGAACAGCTTGAATTGCCACATACATAGCTAAATAAAGCACAAGAAAAAAATATTTGTTGTGTGAATAAAGCAAAATTTCTAACCAGGTGTATTAAATTGTTCGAAAAGAATTTGTATCATTTTTTCACGATTAGTTTTTGGATTCAATGGTGCTTCTGTAATTAAAATTGGATGTTCTTCTGGTACAATACGTAATTCATTATAAAATGTATGATACCAAATTTTTTCCATATCATTCCAATTTGTAACAATTCCATGTTCAATTGGATAACGAATTGTTAAAATACTTTTTTTTGATAATGCTTCATCACCAACATATGATTTTTTCTGACCTATACCAGTCATAATAGTATTATAACGTGAACGACCAATTACAGTTGGAAAGATTGTACGTGGTGCATCTTCTCCACTAAAACCTGCTTTAATCATACCAGAACCATTATCAATAACAATTGGATTTAATTGATCGATTGTATTGAAAAACATTTTAGTTAAATTTTTGTAAAAAAAAAAGAAATAAATATCAATTTGAATATTAATTTTTCTTTTTATCTTGTCTAGTAGAATGATTAGTATCTAAACCTTAAAAAAAATTCAATATTTTCTTACTTATCTATTTTATAGATTGATATGAATTGTATCATTTTGTTTTTGATAACAGATAACAAAAAAAAAAAACAGAATTAAAGAATACCAAAAAAATAAGGAAATGTTTTTGTTTTACATTCAAGGTTGAATTGATGTCACAGATGATGAATTAATTTATTTAGTTTTTTTTCTTTCTTTTTTGTATTAATAATGAATATATAATGTAGAAAATATTTTGATTCATAATCATAATATTCAATTTAAAAACAAAAAACCAAGAATGGGTCATAAGAAAAGTCGACATGCAATAACACCACCACTTGAACATGCTGTTCTTCGTCGTATTACACGTGCAACAACATTTTTACCTGATGAAATACAATATTTTTATTATGATTTTCTTAAATATACACCAAATGGTTATTTAACATTAGATGATTTTGAAAGATTGTATCAAACGTTATTTCGTAATGGTATATCAGAAAAATTTGCTGAATATGCTTTTCGTGCATATGATACAAATCAAGATGGTATTATTGATTTTGAAGAATTTATTAAAGGTTTATATTATACAACTAAAGCATCAGCAAATGAAAAAATTCGATGGGCATTTGATTTATGTGATCAAGGTAATTTATAAAATTTGACTTCTTAAAAATTTTTATTACAAAATTTTTGTTTTCTTTTTCTTTGGTTTAATATAAATCAAAAATGAAATGATTTATTCATAAGAATAAAAAGATAATTGCCATTCACATCATCATGTTAAGATATAGTTTCATTAAATTAAACTCTCAAAGGAAATAATAAAATATAAGATTAAATTGTTAATTGATTAGTAGTAAATTAAATACATCATTGAAATACTAGTAAATAGAATTAAGAAATTCATTTCACTTGAATAAACAAAATTAATTTTTCTACGAACATTTGTTACAAAGTTCAAATTAGATCATAACTCTAAAAAAAATATCGTTTACATTCTCCGCTCATTCGATTATGATTATTTTTAAAATTTGTCCAATATTTTCTCTCAAAACTATCAACTTTTTTAATCAAAATTTGATATTTACAAGATAAATCAAAAGTCACCTGACAGTCTTTGATTATGAATAATATAAGATAGAGAGTTGAACATGCAGTTTTCTTTTTTATATTATTTCCAATCAAATGACTTATGGACACTATCCTGTAGTTTTGACTAATTTTAATTTTATTTTCAGATGGTGATCATCAACTTGATATAATCGAACTTGAAAATATAATTCAAGCACTTTATGAATTATCCGATGCGGATATGGCACGAATTGAAACATATGATGAAGCAATAAAACGTGTTAAACAGTTACTTTTAACAAATCAAGATAATAAAAATAATGAAATTTTTGATTCAATAACAAAAAGTGAATTTATTGATGTTGTTCAAAGTGATGCAACAATTATGAAATTAATTGATTGTCAATCAAATTTAAATAAACGTGGAAGTAAATTTGATAATTCTACAAATTTATTTAAAAAACAATTAAAATTTAAATCATCAAGAAGTAAATCATTATCAGATTCAACATTAGCAGCAAAAAATCGAATTGACTAAATAATAATTAAAATGAAGAAATGTTTTTTTTTTTTAGTTCTGTTTTTTTTTTGTTGTTAAAACATTGTTAATAAAGCAAAAACACCATAAAATAAAACACATGGATATGCAACAAGTAATTGTTGTCCAATCATTGCTAATGATATAGTAAAAAGTTTTGATGCTGATATTGAACACCAGAGAATAAATATTATTGTAAGTATTATATTAATAAAACTATTAAATTTAAATAAAAATGATAAAAATGATAGAATAACCATTGGTAAAAGACAATAACCAAGTACACTTATTACAAATAAACCAGAACATGATTTATCTGATGATGCCATTAAATTTAATAAACCGTACATACCAAATGTACCTAATGTAACGATACCATAAACATAACCAAAATGTATTTTACCAAATAATAAAAGACTAAATGCAAATATAAGACAAAATATAAGTGGACCAGCAAGATCAATATCATCACGAATTGATAAATCTGGTATTGCAAATGGATTTAAAACAGATTTTGTTTTTTTAAATATATGATCGAAATTAATACCTAATTCTTCTAATAATGGTGGTTCATCATCATTTTGATTTGAAGTAGCTGTTGGTGGTATATAATGATTTGGATAATAAAATTGATTATTATTTACTTGAGAATTAAAATTATAAGGTGATGGTATAAAATTATCATTTGAATATTGAGTATATGGTTGAGAAAGAGAATAATTTTGTTGTTGTTGTTGTTGTTGTTGCTGAAAATCATAAGATATCGATCCAGTATATTGTTGATTATATGGAGAAGAAGAAAAAAAATCTTGAGAATTCCACGACATATCTAGAATGATTAGGGAAAATACTATCGAGTCTATTCCAAAATTATTTTATCTGAAAAAAATAAAGAATAATCGTCTATATAATCATATTCTAGTTTCTTAAAATCTCGTTGGATTTGATCAGTGATGTTTTCTTGAAAAATGATTTCTTTTCGATTTAGAATAGTATTTGTTTTGTTACTGTCTTCCTTATACTTATCTTTTCTCTCTTTCATACGCATATATCGCATAAATATTTTCAATTCAATCAATACATATGCCTTTCGTTTAACTGTGTTTCTTTGCAAAGATTTTTTTTTTCTTTGAATAAATTCTTTTAGCATAGACATTTGTAAAAATGTTTGCTCATTGAGCTGACTATTAATTAAAAAGTACTTAGAGAATATCTCTTTAACCAGACGAAAAGAAAAAACATCCGAAAGCTTCAGAATAGACTACGGCAAGAATCGCGTCTATGATGAAATTTCTAGCAAGGTTGGACTCCAAAAAAAACGGTTTTCTAGAGATTCTATCAAATTCCAAAACAAAAATTTTTTGTCTTACCATCATCTACAGATTCTTGTAATGTTTGGACTTGGTTTCGAACTTCTTATTCGATTATAAGAATATTTTTTTGTGTTAGTATATTCGTACTTTGTCATGTCGCTAACGAAAAGTAAATATCTAGGGATACTCAAAAAACACTTTAGATAGAGATTTTGTAGTTTCAGGAGTTGTCTACAGAATTTACTATTTAGTTTGTGAAAATGTTGCTTCAATTCGAAGTTCTTTTTTTAAAACTAAAATGCATGAAGTTTATGCCATGTCGCTAACTCTAGTTTTTTTCCCTGATAACTGCTATGAACAAAGGTCTCTAATGTTAATTTTTTCAGAATATCTAGAATAACTTCACATACATATAACATATAAAAATTAGCTGTAGGAAAGTTCATTATTTCGAGATACACATGTTTTGGTTTTAAGAAATCACATCGTTAATGAATGGCAAAAGGAAGAATACCCCTGCTTTCCAGCTCACTTGCGATATGGAGTGCTGTCTAGAGGCAAATTCAATAGTCCGACATATTTCCTACAACTATGACTAGCTGTAGCTCTCGATAGACGGCCGGCCTGATGCAGAGTTGTTGTGGTCAATTGCTTGAGTTCTTCATACACACTAATTAACTACAGCAGTATGCCTTGTCCAGGATCATTCCATGACTGATGCGAACGAAGTTTAAACACAGTATCTTGTAGATACGTGTCAAACAACCAAGGCACTCAGCCATAGCGGCTTGTTAACGAATTATTTTGCCCATATATTGAAACATCTCTATATATAAAATTCATTTCAAATGAAATCTTTATTCACATTTTCATGACATATATCCGCACGTTGCTGAATGACATTCTATTGAATGCATATATATACTAAATGAATAGTTTTGAACAATCACTAGGACTATATTATTTGGCTAGAACTTCAAACCTTCCAATATTATATTTTTGTGATATAGAAATCTTTTTTTTTAATGATATTATTCTTGAAAAGAAAACAATGATGATGCAGTAATGGATAACTCTAAGAACATACTGCTTCGCAGTTTCCGAATGATGTTAGACTAATCAAGGTTTTATAAGAAAACAAGGATAAGACAGAAAGAAAACAGCATAACAAATCAAAAACAAAACAAAGAACAATTGAGCCTATTTCTTTGATGCATTTAAACCACCACCAGTATTTGCTTTAAAATAAACTATATCACCATCTTCAACAGTATAATTTTTCCCTTGTTGTCGATATTTTCCTTCAGCCTAAAAATTAAATTGAAATATAAATTTTATATGATTAATCAAATTTGTTGTTTTTTTTTGTTTTATTTTCTACATACTTTAACAGCATGTTCATTTCCATGTTCTTTAAAATCATCATATTTCATAACTTCAGCCATAATAAAACCTTTTTCAAAATCTGTATGAATACGTCCAGCAGCATGTGGAGCTTTTGTGCCAATTTGTATTGTCCATGCTTTAACTTCATCTTTTCCACATGTAAAAAAATAACACAATTGTAATGCTCGATAACCAGCAAGAATGATTTTTTCCAAAGTACTAAATTAGTTTTTTTTTTTTTCATAAAATAAAACGAATTCTCTCAAAAAAAACAAACAAACAATTTACCTTGGTGCTCCTGTTTCTTTAATAACTTTTTCACTTTCATCATGTGGTAAATCAACTAGACGTAATTCATAATTAGCACTAAATGGTATTACAGTTGCACCTGGATCATGTTCATCAATCCATTGTTTAACTTTACCTAACCATTTATTTTTTTTCTTAATATAATCTTCTTCTGACATATTTATTAAATAAATCATGGGTTTTGATGTATTAAATAAATGTTTATTAAGTACTTCAATTTCTTTTTCATTCCAATCATGAAAACGAAGACTACCTCTTTCTTCATTTAATAAATGTAAAACTTTATTTATTGTTTCCTATTTAAAGAAAAACAAAAATATCAAGAATTTAACTTATGAAATATAAATTTAAGGAAAAAAAAAACTTTTTCAATCTTACATGATCAATTTTTAATGTTTTATCATTTCCACGTACGACTTTTTTTTCTAAATCATCGGCGACTTTTTTTGCCATTTCAAGATCTTTTAATCTAAATTAAAATATAATTATAAACTTAGTTTTTGTAAAACATGCTTTAAAATAAGTATTGAATAAAAAGTAGAATTCATACCTCTTCATAGACCCTGATAGACGTTGTTGATATACGATCGAAGATTGTATATCAATAAGACCTCATTAAAATAAATAAACTATTTCTTTATATCATTTCCGAAGGAAGATGAAGAAATGTGTCTCAAAATAATCTTTCTATGATTAGTAATAGCAACTCGATCGTGTTTGACATTTTAATCTCACAAGAATTGTGCTAACAGTTTTTTTTTCTTGTTCTTCTTTAAATCTATTAACCTTAATTCATCATGAATTATTTCCATATCACGTATTGGATCAATATTTCCTTCGACGTGAGCTATATCAACTTCATCAAAAAGTCGAGTCATATGAAATATACCATCACATGCTTTTATATGTGAAAGAAATGCATTACCAAGACCTATGATAAATATTATATTTTAATAGAATAATTCAAAATTATTTCATACCTTGACCTTCACTTGCACCTTTAACAAGACCAGCAATATCAACCACCTAAATTTAATAGAGATTTAAAATAGAAAAATAAAAAAGATTAATGCTGGTTTTTTTTCTTCTTTACATTGAGATATGCCGGTTGTTTACTAAGAAAAACAGAAATATATACTAAATGAAGAAGTTTATATATGAAATACCTTAATGGTTCATAATGATGACATAAGAAATCAAAGCGTGGATCAGGTACAGGTACTCGACCTAAAATAATATCGTATAATTTGATAATAAAAGTTTGTCATTATTATATTACTTTCATTTGGATTGATCGTACAAAAAGGAAAATTTTCAGCAGGTACACTTGATTTAGTGAGAATATTAAAAAAAGTTGATTTTCTAGAAAAAAAAGAAAGAAACAATAGAAATAAATAAATATTATTGTCATAGAAAAATTTTAATTGATATTAACCCTGCATTTGGTAAACCTACAATACCCATTTTAAGGTTAGTACCAACTCGACCAATCAATGGCTTTGGCTTAGCTTCTTCTTTCTTTTTTGGTGGCATATTTTCGATCTATGTTCTTATCTAAAAAAAATAATAGAAAAACAAGTTATATAAAACATTTAGATGTTAAATACAATTAAGGAAACCTATGGCATTGATTGAGATAAAGAAGTTTTCCTGTATTCACTACTATTCATATCTGTTTTCAGCAAGATATAGTTAAGGGTGTTATTTTTATTACAAAAATTTTTGCTCTCAGAAGCAACTTTAAAAAATACTGAAAAGCTAAAAAACACAAATTCTTCTTGTAAATCAATCAAACCAAATTATTCTTATTGTTTGTTGTTAATCAATGATAAAAATTTATTTATATCTGAGTGTATTGCTCTTTTTTCTATTATATCATATTAATATATCAATCGAGTAGGGGCAGCTACTGGATTTTACATCATTAGATTTATCTATTAATAGGATATAATACATTCACACTGTATTCTAAGAGAACCATAGTTGTGAAGTGTCTACACTCAATCTCAACCATCTTCTGCCCTAAACTCTATTCATGCCCTGATCTTAATACATTCCATTCAATGGCAAAACATGCTGAGTGTGGTACAAGCTTTGCAATATTCATTCATTTGAAAACATTCAAGTAACGAAACAATACAAAATTCAATTCGCTATTAATTCCTATTTGCTGAACACGATCGAACAAAAAATGAAATTATAGACTGTATTATATGATTCAATGAGTAGTAAGTACTTCTCACACAATTTTTAGCTAGCCTACTATTTTTATGTAAAGGAAAACTGAGTGTTCAGAACCAAATACACTGCTAAATAGTATTTGAAAAGTTCTATCGATGATATATAATACGATATTTTTTTAATGTACATTCTTTTGATTCGATAAAACGTTCAATTTTCAAAAAAAGCGACCTTTTCTTAATTTCATTATTCGTTTCCAAAACAAATGTTTCATAAATAGTATCTTTGACCAGATCAGTTGATTTTCGCAAAAATTTCTAGACAATTGCTTTGTCTTTTTACTTGAAACCGAAATAACGTTATAAAACGTGATTTAACTGAAAATATTACAAAGACTCTAAAAAAGAACAGGACCATTTTTCTTCGGTTGTAGATGCTCAGGCAAACGATTCAAGTTATACAAGTCTAGATTTTTATCAAACACTTATAAATAATTTCGAAAGCGCATTTAACATGAAGTCTAATTATAAGTACCTAGCCTTTTAGGTGCCTTTTTAGCACTTCAAAAGAATCTTAAAAACAAATGAAAATAATTTTTATGAGAAGTAAAGATCATTCACTATGCCACATAGAACAATCTATAATTTCATTTTTGTTCTATTATTGTTTTAAATTCAAAAACGAATCTGAGTCTGTAGAAAATCAAAATCTGTATCGTTTCATCAATGTTTTATCTAGAATAGATGTTCATTTGTCTGGAAGAAAAAATCTGAATGATACACTGCTTCTGATAGGAAAGTTCGCATCTTGTATTACTTCTTCCTTCGAATATTCGCAAATGAAAGAATGTTGCAAAACTTTTACCATACTGAGTATCACGAGATTTATCGAAAAACTCTAGAACCTTCTTCTCAAGCAAACTATACTAACGCTCTAAAAATAACACAATCTAACCTAACCCTAAAATAATACTGTTAATAGTTTAAACAATTGAATTATTATTCATTTGATAATACAAATCTACAACAAGAAATCAATTCGATTTTATAATGATTAAGGACGCAACGATTAATAATACATAAATCAGTTTCAGATCATTCGAATTCAAAAATTTACATTAATAAACTTTTTCAAAAAAATTATTTCTTTATAATTGAAGATGACATATAAAAAAAAAGAAGACAACAAAAATACATTCTTTATTTTTTTATGTTCTTTATTCTACTTCTAAAACAATAACAACATTGATAAAGAATAAATCATATCTATTATTATAGAAATGTAAAATAATGAGATTAAACATTACTCTTTGTTGATGATATTATAGTTGTTAAAATAATTGTTTCATTTTTCATATTAATATTTTTATCTGATATATGAAAAAATACAAGCATAATACAAATAGCCATTAATAGATGAATAAAAAGAATAACTAACATTGATAATGCACTAAAATGTTTTCGTCCATAATTAACTGTTGGCCAAAATGTAACAATTAAAACACTTCCACTTATTAATGATGCTATTATTGTTAATAACCATTGTAACCATATTATTGGTATTATCCATAAAATTGAAACTGGAATAAATATTGTTAAACTATAACCATAAAGACAAAGTAATTCAAGAAATGTATATTCATTACATTTAATATAATAACGAAAGAAAAAATAAATAAATGTTGGCATTAACCACCAATAAAGATAGATAAACTAGAAATAGATAAATCGAGTCTTTTTAATTTTAAGAAAAAATATGTATATTTCTTTTACTTACAATAGCTGATAAAGTAATTTTTGAAAAATCAATTTGAAAATCAGCATCAGGTAAATGAAAATATGTAACAATATTTCCACTAATAGCTACAGTTACAATAAATGTAATACATACCCAAAATGGTCCATATAAATCAGGATTATGTTTAATTGTTGAATTAAAATAAGATTTATTTGGTTGTGGTGTCATTGAAGCAAGTAAACGTTCAAGTAATTGTTGTGTATCAATTTGAAAATATTTTTGATAATATTCAATTTGCCATATATGTAATTGTTCATTTTTTATATTATTTGTTGTTATTGATAATGGAAGAGATAAATGTTGTTCATTCGATGGATTATATCCATAAGATGGATTATTATTTATTTTATTTTCTACAGAACGATCATTCTCATCATCATCATCAAGATCAACTGCAGAATTTGGAAATGATGTAAATAAATGTGTTTGACTAGGATTTTTATTTGATGATTGATCAATTAAAAAACCATCATTGGAAAACATCATTGAGATAAATAAACTAGTCTAGTACAAAGATGTATATATCGAGTAGTAATATTTTTTTTTTTTACTTTTATTTTTACATATTATTGGATAAAATATTCCAATAAGAATATTGTATACTAGCGACAATTGCGATTCGAATGATTATAAGATTGCTAAGGAATAAAATAATGTTCATAGTTGATAAAAAAGTGAATTTTTTTTTGTTTTAGTCTATCTTGGACAAGATTAGTTTTAATTAATTGGTAGTATCCATCATTAATATCGACCAAGTTATTTATATTTTTTGTGTTAAATGTACCTAATTAATATATCTTCATTATTTTGATTTCCTTTCTTTTTGCCAACCCTTGGAAATATATTTCAAAACAGCCAATATTTCTGTCTAAGTCAAAAAATACGGTATATTTACTGCTGTAAATTTTTCGTTGGGTTACTGTTTACTAAGAGATGTGGCGAAGAGAAAAACGTGGAGCTGGGTACGAGTATTTTATTCAGAGCTGAACAGATGCAAATATAACCTTTTACAAGTAATAGAACGTGCGTACCCCGTGAACGCCACATCTCTGCATTTACTGATGCAAAACAGAAAACGACGTTCGTTTTGATCGGTCTGCGTGGTAAAAAATATACTAAACAAAAAAATATATGCAATGATTCTGTGAAATATTTCGTATAAAGTACCTGCGATATAGAACGAGAGAGAGCTAAATATTTTTTTTTAAAACAAATTGAATAAATGATTTAATTTTAATAAAAAATTTCAACACATCGATGAATTGGGTTGATTATGATTTATATCACATCATAAAAATGAATGCAAAAAGAATTCAATTGGAAATCAAATATAAATATAAAATTAGAGGAAAAATAAATCTTAGAGAGATGAATAGCAAAATATCGAAAAAAAACACATTTAAAGACCGAAGATTTTTCTTAAAACATAAACTTTTGATAATACAATATATTTATTACTCATAGATAGTATTCAATGTAAACAATTACCAATGCATAATTTTCTATAATTTTCAATATCAATAAAGATTCGTCCTATTTTTCAATTCGTACGTTTCATTCTTCATTCAAGTTTTACAACCGAAACTCGTTTGTCTTCTGTTTTGTTTCTATTGATGAGAATCATTGATTTTTATATTCCTATATAGTTTATATCTTTTCATGAACTATTCGGTACATAAAGCCATATCAATACTAAAAATAGAAACAATTCTTCTTTATATATTCGACACATTCAACTAATGCCAAACTTATTATTCACAAATGTTACACCTCAAATATCTATTAAATAGTTTCAATGAATTATAGTTGTGAGAAATCAATAATTTTATCTGAACATCTGCCATTGTATATAATTTAAATAAATTTCTACTGGATAAAACCCAATCATGATAGACTACTATATGAATCGATTTATTTTCTTTTTCTTATCTACTATTGCATGTCATCATAAAATCATATGAAGCGTGTATATTTTCTTTTTGTTTTTTGTTACTAAATATAACGATTAAAGTAACACTTGCTATACTCAATCATATAGTACATATTAGAGAGAAATAATCAAAAAAAAAAAAAAAGAAAAAGAAAAAGATCATCATATCATTTTTATTGTAAAAAAAAAAACGAAAGTAGACATTGAGTAAGTCTATTAATAATCTATCAAAAGATAATTCATTTTAAAAATATATGTTCCCAACATCAAATATACCAATGAATTATTTAAAAGTACCAACTAATGAAAAATTAGATAATACTGAATCACGTCGTACTTGTTCATTTATTCAAAATCCTAATCGAATTAAAAAACGTGCACCTTCAAATGCAAGTCTTCCATGTATAAATCATGGTATTCTTAAATCATCAAATTCTTCACATCGACCACAATCTATATCATCACGTTCAAGTGTTTATTACACACCTATGATAAGTGAAGATGATGATAAAGTAGAACTTATTTCATCAATTATTGTTCCACCAACAACAGAATCATCATCTTTGATAAACAATAATCAATTAGAACATACTCATAAAAAGAATGATGGTCATTTTAATATACCAAGACAATATGGATTAAGTACATTATTAAGAAAATCATACTGGTCAAATCATCCATTCTCACTTAAAGGGTATGAGAAAACAAAAAAAAGAAAGTTTATTAATTGTATTTGTTCTGTTGTCGTTTATGATTACTTATTTCAATCAAATCAAATTAATTGATTGAATAATAGATAGTGTCTATAAAAAGTAATTTTGATATTTCGCTTGAATAGTTGATTAGTATTAAACACCTTTTTGTTTTTTTAGTATAATGTTATATTTTATAAATTAATAAGTATTATGATATAATTGTTTAAATATTTATATAACTATCTTTCAGTAGAAGATACCGAATTATTATTGATTTTACACAATTTTAACTCGAATAGAAAAAAAAATGTAGATATTAATTTGAATAGATCGAAATAATAATTATTTTTTTTCAATTGTATATTGACAAAATATATTAATAGTAGGACATTTTTTTATTATTAATTTTCAGTTATCGGATACAACCATTAGGTTTTGATATATATATATTGCAGATTCAATTAATGATCTGCTGATATGATTAACTATGATAAATAACCATAACTAACTTTGATTGACTATTGGTCATATTCATAAAAAAATCAAGAAGATCTCAAATTGATTTTTTTCAAAATACATGAGTTTATCAAATAAAATCAATAAACTTCATTTAAGTGTTAGATAATTCTAAGGACAGGTTTTTTTTTGTTCACTTTGATTTTTGGAATTGCTTAGCTATTACGCACAATAAAAATTTTCATTTAAAATTTAACCACTAAAATTAAAATACGGATGTCTTTGGACAATTTATTATTGATCAGTTCTTCCAACACATGTTTCTTTTACCATTGAATTTGAAATAATCATACTAGATATTATAGTTTAATTCGTGTAGAGACTCTATAATAATTACTTGACTTTTTTTCTTCTATTATTAGTAGAAAACGAATCTTTGATGAAACCTTTAACAAAAACAACGAGGACTAAATTATTAGTTTTTTTTTGCTACTTAAATGTATTTATATAATGTAAAGAAAGAGTATACAGGTGTAAATATGATGATAACTATCTATCATGGACAAATTTGCAATTATTCTTCTATCGAAAACTCCAATGAGAAAGGGTTATACTTGACAATTGTGATAATATTGCCCTTTTATTTTTTCCTTCTCATGTTTGTCTATTAAAAGCGTAAAATAATATAAATATATTAAACGGTTGTTTTATCAGATAAACAGAAAATTTTTTATGAAAAAACAATCTTTCTAACTGAAACAAAAATTCAATGTATAGTGAACAGAACATTACTCAAAAACAAAAATCATAATATTTTATCCTAATTTATTTGGACAATTGCATATACAAAAAGATATATAAGCAAAGAAAAGAAATATATTTCTCGTTTTCTACGCAATATAGGTATTCACTTTAAAAAAAAAAGATATAACAAGAGAACGACAAAAATCAATGGCTTGTATAAAAGTAATGAAATGATAAATCATATTCAAAAGAATGTGTCTTATGATTTGATGATACATAAAATATACACATGATTTATTCGAAAGTAATGTTTTCACCTTAAACACGTGGATATATATTTATATATACACATAAATGGCTAAGGCTGAAAGTGAATTACAAAAACTTACATCCGACTTTCATAAACATAAAAGGTAAATGTTTCTATGTTTTTTTTTTATTCCTTCGCATCAGTTATTATTTAGGATAGACGATGATATAAAATTTATATTATTTTTCTTTACACACAATGAGTACAGATAAAAGTTCTGAATTTATTATTAAGTTTTGATATAGTATTGTAATGCAATATCATAGAAACTTGATTATTTTTTGTTAGAAAAAAATATCTAGTGCAATGTAAAAATATATTAAAGAATTTGAGCGAAAATGTTTCCAGAAGGGCACAGAAATCTTACGAGGGAGCATATTTAAGATATCACCGATAAGTAGAGCTTGTCGGGTCCAAAATTCTCGGATCCGAATCTGGTTAATGGGAAATTTTCGGATTCAGATCAATCCAATGGACTCTAGTCATAGAGAGTCAAGGAACCGAAGCACTGGTCAAAATTCTCATTTTTTGATTTGTTATATGTACTCGAAAGGCCATTATCTAAAACCACTAAACCCACATTTTTACTTGATTTCGATGTTTTATTGCAAAGTTACCCTTGATCAACTTTTCTTCCTTATCTACCTATTAATCGAAAAACATAGTGATTAATTGTTTCATAAATATCTTGTAGAATAATACTTTCATAAGTCGGAGAATTTTTTCAGACAATATATTAGAAAATAAATTAACTATATTTAAAATATTGTATATGATTTATTTACTAAGCCAATGCATGAGTGGAAAAGGTGAGAATTTAATAGTCTATAATATCCATTTGTTGACAATCTATCAATAGTCATTTTTCGAAATCAAACGATATTAAGCTGAATTTTTGATATGTTATGTAATTTTTGACTCCCTACAAAATAGTAAAAAGATATCGAAAACAAAAAGTTTACCTGTGAGACAATATGAGGCTTACACTATCAATAAAGATATAAATAGCCTCAAGCAAAATGTTATCGAACACTTTTCAGCGATGTCAAACACTTATCATGTGCCGTCTAATTCTCCATTAAAAGAAGGCTCTATATAGTACTAACTAATAGATGATAATGAATTTCAATCATGTGGCTGTGATCGGCATCCCATGCTTCATCTAAATAGATGATTATTATCCGATTTCGCAAAAAAAAATATTTATTTTTCGAAATTCCCGCGGTGTCGCTCAAGGTTGTAGAGGTTGATCTTTTTTTTTTAATTTTCGAAAGATCTATCCATATAATTCTAGTCAGCATCAAGTTCTAATTTCAGACTATTGCCATTTCTATCAATAGCGTAAGTCCCATATTGTCTCAAAGGTAAACTTTTTTTTTAATATCTTTTTACTATTTTGTAGAGAATCAAAAATTACATAACATATCAACAATTCAGCTTAATATCGTTTGATTTCGAAAAATAACAATTGATATATTGTCAACAAATGGATATTATAGACTACTAAATTGTCACTTTTTTCACTCATGCGTTGACTTAGTAAATAAATCATATACAATATTTTAAATATTGTTAATTTATCTTCTAATATATTATCTGAAAAAATTCTCCGACTTATGAAAGTATTATTTTACAAAATATTTATTAGACAAGTCATCACTATGTTTTTGATGATAGGTAGATAAGGATAAAAACTCGATCAAGGATAATTTTACAATAAAATATCGAAATGAGCTAAAAATGTAGGTTTAATAGTTTTAGATGATGGCCTTTCGAATACATATAAAAAAATGAAAACTTTGACTAGTGCTTCGGTTTCTTAGATCCTTATGAGTGCTCTCTTAAACTTGTCCCCTCATAAGATTCTTGTACCCTTCAGGAAACATTTTCAATCAAATTCTGTAGTATATTTTATTTGGCTTCTTTCCAACACAAAACAGAATGAAGTCTCTACGATATTGCATTGCAATGCTACATAAAAAAAAACGAAATCTATGCACAACTTTTGTCCCATCTTTTTCTGATCAATAATATTCTTAAAAGAAAAAAACATTCTATAGCGAATAGTAATCTGAGTGTTTAAAGTTCATATTAAAATGTAAATTCAATGAATATATATGCCGTATAATGAAAGTCCAGTATAAGTATATAAATTGAACGAAAAAAACAAGGTAAGAAAGGACAACGTTTTATTTAATAAAATGATCATCATGCGAATCTACATTTGAGATGTATGTAGGTTTTCGAAAATTATTTTTAAATTTGTTGAACAAGTTGTATTATATCTTCGATTTTTTTTTATTTTGTTTATAGAAGCAATGATGAAAATATAGATGCTTACAAAATCGTCAGTATACTCTATGGTTTGGGTAAGTATGAGTTAGATATACAGATTGGTAAAGAGAGATTTCTTGATTTTCTTTTAATTAAAATATAAAAGAAAATAATAAAATCTATTTAAAATAGACGTCATTCTGTTTCTTGAAATTTTGATTAGAATTCATTAAGATTTGAGAGTTTCTACTCCCGAACATAATGTTAAGAACTATAAATTTGCAATTAATTCGAGCCTATAGGTACTAAACTTTTCCTCACTCAAGTCGAACTCAATAGATTATATTCAAGATTACTTGAAACTTTCGATATACGAATAATTTCAATAGTGATGCAATAATTTTCATTTTTCTCCTGAAAGAAAATTAGTGTTAAACCTATCTGTAATTCATTAGTAACATTTGAGAGAAGTCTTAATTAATCGTTCTAGAAATATGTGATATAAACTTTAAAAAAATTTCAGTTCGTTAAACAACAAGTATTTGTACTTGAGGGATATATGATTAATAGTTCTTACAATGATTATTTTACTAAATGGTATGGTGTATGGGTGAAAAGAAGACACTCACTCACACTCATATTTCAGAATTGTCTCTATTTAAACATTGTTTTCTATATTTTTGATTCCATATAACAATGATGCTAAGACAGTACGTTTAAGTTGAAGAAAAAAGAAACTTATGATATATACAGTAACAATGATGTCTCGTGAACTCTATAGATTGTAGTTCATTCAGATCAAGAAATACGCATCATTTCTGATCGAAAAACTTGGAAAAATGTTAGGAACTTGGAAGCAGGAATCCGGTGGGAACCTACCAAAATGATTGGTCTGGACATTTTGAAAACGAAATAGTGAAATGAGATATTTAGTGAACTCTATAAATTGCAACTAGTTAGAAGTAATACTGAATGTACAACTTTTCTTATAATTTTTGTGAGTAAATTTTCAAGAATAAAGAAAACGAAAGTCTCAAACGTTGTATTATTTTTGTATTTAAATAATTTAAATTTAAAAAATTCATTTAAATTAAATTAAATACTTTTGACTTTCGATTTTATATTCGCAAGTGAGAAAACATGAATTCTTTATTTACTAGTAGACTTAAGGGTATTCTCTCTCTTTTTAGACTCTTTCTAGTTTTTGAAGACGATATAACCAATCAGTCTAAAATTTTTATACCAAAAATAAGGAGACACGTATTCAAGAATAAAATTCTTTCAGTTTTTTGTGAAAATGTAGTTTTCATAAGGCAGCATTCTGATTGCTTACGACCTCCATCATGCTTTATTCTAGTGAACTACAAATTTTTTTGAAGATACCTAAGGCTATATCTCAGAGGTAATGTTAAGCTGTTCCAAAAATCTTACTTCTTTTTTTTTCCTTTTGAAAGAAATATGTAAAGATTCACTGCTAAAATTCAAGTCTTGGCTTTCAGGATCCGGATAAGAAGCTCAAAAACGAAAATGATATATTTTACCTGTGGGGAATACTTCCTATTTGAACTTGATCAATTGTACCATATACGAAGACCAGAGGAGGTCAAAAGAGAGAGGAGAGGATATTCCTAAACATTAATCTCTTTTTAAAAAATAATTTAACTAGTTTTCATTAAAAATATTTTAACTAACTGATTTGATATTTATTTATTTTTTTAATAGTAATTTTTATTGTTGGTGTGGCTTTTTCGATATCACATGCTATTATACCACCAGACCAAGTTGGAAATATTCGACATTTAGCTGAGGTAAAATCTGCAAAAAAAAAGAAAATTTCTTTCTAAAATAAAAAAAATCAATTTTATCATAGATTTATTTTACATATCTTTATTGCGTATCAATAATTTGGATATTTTTTTGTATAATCGATATAGTTCGTCATCAACAGAAGTTTAATATAAATTCAAAAGCAATCAAAAGATTAGATTCAACTCATAAACCAATACATAATCCTAATTTACATTTATTAGTTAATAAACGTCAAACATCATCACTAAATCAACAAATATCTCAATTACCACCAGTACCATCATTTAATTTACAATTATTTGATGATTCTGATGAATTTCAATCTGAAGATAATGATAATGAAAATAGTCATGAACAAAATGAAATAAATTCACATAAACAAACTCATGATAATGATGATGATGATGATGATGATAAAAGTTTACGTCATACTGATAAAAAATCACATTCATTTGATGATTTATCAGCAATATCATCAGACGTTGTAAGAAAACGTTATAACAGAACACGAAGTGTTTCATCTAGACGTCCTGCATTAGATCCTGGTGGTGCACATAATTTACGAACTTATGTACGTCATCGAAAAGATAGTATTGTACAACGTGTTATGGGTTATAATTATGATGATCATTCGACAGCCGGTGGTCTTTATATACGTGTTGGAATTGGAAGTAAGAGAAAAAAAAAACAGAAAGAAAAAGAAAAAGAAATAAACAATCGAATGAATTCTATCTATAGAAATTATTTATTTGATTTTTAGTTTTTTGTCTTGGAACTGTTATACATTCGGGTTTATCAATATTAAGTAATCTTGAAAATCGTTCTTGTGCAAGATGGACAGCTCTTATGGATGATTGTTCAAGATTATTATTTAGTTTTATTCAATTCTTCTTTATTTTTAAACATTCAAATGTATGTATATCTGATTAAATTAAATTTTAAAACAAAAGAAAATTTATAGAAAAATATTTATCGATTATTTTATTTTTTAGTTAATTATTCGAGCACATGAAGGTCTAGCTCGATTAGCTGTTATGCATATTGTTGTTACTAATTTATGTGTATGGTATGTTATTTATTTACTTTATAGTATAAAAAAAAAATGTTCATATACACAATATCTTAAAAGTTGCCTATTATAAAAGAATTCGAATAGATTTATTATATTTTAACTAAATCAACTAATCCTTTTTTTTTTCTGGTGACAAAGAAAAGATCGAAGTTTTTATTCTTATAAGAGAAGTTCATAAGAAATGTTTGAACTTATCCATTGTGATTGATATTATGAAACTTTATATCTAGATGAGATTACATTCAAAGATCCTAAAATTTTCTACACATGCTAGTTTAATGTGGAAATGTTTTCAATTGATCAATTGTTTTTCGATTCAGAGTCTGTGCATAAAGTAGATTCCAGTGGAATACAAAAAAATCTCAAAAGAATAAATCTCTTTAGACCTTCTATTCAGAATTATAGGCATTTTACTAGGATTTTAGCCTCTGGCTTGACATATATATCAAAAAATTGAATGACGATATTTTGATCTGAGATTTTTCCTACAGACAGATTGATCTGTCAGTGGAATGTCCTGAAAATTTCAGCTCAAAGGAATATTTCCTTTCCGAGATAATAAAATTCCAACAATCACTCATATTCTACGAATGATGCTAGAAATTTCTGTTTTTTGGAACTTTAATATCTCAAGAAGGAAATATTCTTTTGAGCTGAAATTTTCAAACCATTCTACTAACACATAGATCCGTTTGTAGGAAAAATTTTAGGTTGAAATAGTATCATTCGATTTGTTGGTATATGTCAAGTCAGAGGCTAAATTTCTAGTAAAACGTCTATAACTCTGAATAGAAGGTCTAAGGAGACTTATTCTTTTGAGGTTTTTTTTACATTTCACTGGGATCTACCTTAGGCACAGAGTCGAATTCAAAAGTGATTGATTAGTTGAAAATATTCTCTAGTAAATGAGAGCTTTGTGTATGTTAAGTTTTAGGTCAAAATTCGATAATAAAATTCTATTAAAAATGTGAGATCCTATAGAAGAAAGCAGTAGAGGATGTGGGTGTGGATAGCTCGAAATAAAAGGTTTGTCTTCAATTAATATCACAATAATAAAATTTCGATAAGAGCTAGCTGTCATCATATGTGACGATAACATTAGATGATATTGTCTTCGCTGTGTTTTTCCTCTTTTTAGTCTTCTCTTTTCTTTTTTTCGTCTTCTGTAATCCTTAACCATTGATATATGGTACAGTATACAAAAAAAAAATAGTAGCAGTGAAATAAAAAGAAAATATAGAAATAAGTTCATCAAATGGTCGAATTGATCGATCTAATTATTTACATATATTTGCATTTCTTGGATTCATTTATCGAACATTTTTCTATACTATTCTTTATTTAAAGAAAAAAAAAGAGAGAACAAGAACAAAGAAATATAGACCACTGTTTTTACTATCAATGCATATAGCGACATAGTTTCCTCAAATTTTCCTATAGGATTCTGAAGTGTCTTCACCACTACTTTTGTTATACTCTAAGCAGAAACAAAATAATAATACTCAGAAGTAAACAACGGTTCTGATCAGGATTCTCAATTAGGGAGGCTTTCCTCAAAATGTCCGGCTTTTTGTCAATTTTTTGCAGCTTCGTGATAACTTTGGAGAAAAACCGAATTTTGAAACATCATTTACCTTTCTCTGATAGCAAGTAAAATAAAAATAATCAGACACCGTCGTTGCGAAGTGAATAGGATAGGAGTAGGCTCCGAGGAAAGAACGATCTGGTAGCATGTCATCTATTCTGGAAGGGCCAGGTCACATTGAGTTCATTCTTCTTCCCCTTCGGTCACCACTTCTAGCACTCCGAGGATGAAAATACTTTCTGTCGAATTTTTAGCCTCTGTAGATTCTAAGCTCTATTTTTAGATTGAAAGACCTTAATTTTATGTTTTGTTAAATTTTACAAGGTGACAAAATGAAAATCTAGCAAGACTTGCTTTTTTTTTATTGAGGTTTCGGATGGTTGTAGTTGAAACAAAATCTCAAATAATAGAAACAGGTGCTCATGAAATGGCAATTGTAAACGTCGTCGGTGGTAGTAGTCATTCAATGAATAGTAAATAAATTTGATCTTTTCTACAAGAAAAATATTTTTGTTTAATTAAAAAAAAAAACAAATGAAAAGATAGTCATCATTCAAGTCATCAAAATTATCCTTCATCAACAGTTCCATATCATTGTCTACAATCAATAGAAGAAGCTCGACTAATGAATGCTTTTATTAATGAAGGTTATATGAGACTTAAACCTCTTTTATATCCATGTACAATTGAATTTAGTCTTATGTCTTTAACTGTAAAATATTACATAAATAATATTTTTTTTTCTTGTTCTCAAAGAAGTGATCTTTTTATATTTTAGCTTTTCTATCTCATATGGGAAAATATAGGTAAAACATTTGCTTATAAAATGTCCGATAAAGCATCAACAAAAAATGTTTTTATGGTTAATTGTCATGCATCAATTAAAGGTTTATTTGCTGGTATGATTGTTTTTTCGTGTACAGTCATATCAGTTATTCTTTATGCTGTTTTTCGAAATAAAATTGGTGATGATTTACATTCTGCATCATCATTAACAAATCATGCAGGAAATGTTCCTCATAATAGAGTTCATTCTCGTGGAATAATAATAACAAATACAACAACAACGACGTTATCGACTCTACATCACGTAGTTGTTCCTTCATCATCATTAGCTCATAGTCCATTAACAACAACAACAACAAAAACTCCCACAACAATTTTATATAGTATTGCTATTGTTGAAATTGTTAATTTAAGTTTATTACTTACTTCTTTAACGGCAACATTATGGGCATTAATGAAAATTCGAAAATTACAATATAAAAGAACGACTACACGTATGAAATGAATAAAATATTGATCTTTTTTTTTTTTTGAATGGTTATTTTTTTGTGTTTTTAGGTTTCGATGATGTATTAATTATTGTTGCATTAGCGGGAACTTATTTATATACCATTTTTAGTGCTTTTGCATTACTTAGTAATAAAGATCAATCAACATGGCTTGCTTATCTTAAAATAGCAATCGTTGTTTTAGGTATATTATAATTGAAATTAGTTATAAGTTTTCTACTTTTTTTGATTTAGAATTTATTGAATCAACTGTTCATGCATTTTTAATTCTCGTTGCATTACGTAAACGTATTGGTCGATTAAGTAAACTTCAATATCCAGCACGTGAAATTATAACATTACTTATAATGCTTGATCTTAGTTTATGGTTCGAAGAAACAACAACAACAACAAAACATGAAGCTAATCCATTTCAATTAGCTTTTTATCATACTATTCCATGGTCAATTATATCTGCTATTGCAACACCACTACAGATTTTTTTTCGTTTTCATGCATCTGTTTGTCTATCACATGTTTGGGAAAATATGTATATTTTACCAGCCTTCGAACAAGTTGCTCCTCATGGTTTATAAAACGAAAGAACATTACTTTTTCTGTCGCTTTTTATCTGCGCTATTTTTTTTTTCTTTTTCTGTCACTTCTTATACATATAAACATAGGTGAGTGAGGACGAAATGTTGTTGTTCTTTTTTGTTATTGCGCAATAGTCCACATATTGACATAATTCGACCAATATTTCTTTATTCTTTCTAAAACAGTCATCATATTCGTTTTCTTTCCCAGTAAGACTGAGAAAAAAAGAGAACAACTAGCAACATTTCACATATACGAAATCGATTCATTTAGTTCATAACGACTATTACTAGAACAACGAATCTATTGCGTATGTTATCTACATTATTTTCTCAAAAACATAATGATCCTTGTGAAATTTGTTTCGATCAGATGTCTACTGATATTACATTAATTACTTGTAGACATCGACAAAAATTTTGTGAGACATGTATACAATCATGGTTGAAATTAGGAAAATTTACTTGCCCTAAATGTCGTACACTTTGGCCAGTAATAGATTATGTAAGTGAAAAAATAAACAAGTAATATCATTAAACGAGACTATTGTTTATTTAAATATATATATATAGTTGGAACAAACAAATCAAAGTATAATAAATACTGCTAATATATTACTGAAATTGGAATATCATCCAACATTATTTAATGGAAACGTTCCTTTTTCAACACCATTAACAGCTGGCTATTTAATGAATAGAGCTGTGATGTGTTGTTCAATTGGATTACTCATTTGTTTAATAATATATCCAACTATGATGTAGTTCGACCTGATAACATATCTATTTTGTATAATGTACAATCATATGTGAATATTTATATTTATTACCTTTGTACCTGTATAAAAATAATTATATTCTTATCATTTTATATTTTGGGTCATTTTATCTGTATTTTTTTCATTTGCCGTATGTAACAATCAAGTATAAAATAGTGTTGCTCTTCAAAGGTCGTAAATAAAAAAAAAAAACATTGCGATAATTTTTTTTTAATGCGAAAGATATCATTGAAGACATTTTAAAGAATTCTGTAATATAACTTAAATAAGTTACATGTACATTTTTGACGTAATTAAATTGTTCACAAGAAAATATTTAATATGAAATACATTGAAGTAGTCTAACAAATATATTTGACAACAGTTTTGTTTTTTTATTTGCAAAACTTGATAACTTATCGGATCAAATAGATTGACATAAAGATAACATCGAAAGAATAGATAAACTTAAGTTACTCAGTTTTCTTCCGTGTATATCACACAACGTAACATATACAAAGATAAATATTATCAGAGTACATATTTTATATAATACGACTTTGAATTATAAGACAAGTTTCAAGAAAAATGAAAAAACAAATTAATATATCTGCTTCATGCAATACAAAAAGTGCATTCACATTAGTGTTATCGACACACACCACAAGCTTCGTTGCTTCTAGCACTAAAATGTACTTCTATAAAACATTTGTATCTGTGTAAATATGTAATTGAATGTTACTTTTTTTAATCAGCTAATTGAATCTAAGTTCAGTATAGTTTGTTCTATTAATAGAATTCCATTTGTTGATTAAAGAAAAAAAGCCTTAAAATATTTCTGTCTAATATTTAAAACATTCATCTTCTGAAATAATCTCATTTAGTGTAAATAAGTGCACAAAAGGTGTTAGACTATTCCAGAGAGGTAAAAGTAGAAAGAATCAGATGAAGAACATTAAAATTCGAAGAAAGTATATCCATTGAAGGTTTCCTTCCCGTTCAAAATAGATTTTTAAAGTCTCTACATTGTATTGAGCTGAAATTTTGTGTACTTATTTAGATTGCTGAGCCATACATAGACTCCAATGCTATTCGACTACTTCAAGAGATAGAGTCAATTTTCTTTTTTTTTCTTTTATTTGAAAGAAGATACTTAGCGCTTGATGACTCTCGTGATCCTTTTTTATTTTCTTACTTATAGATTTTTTTTAGACATATATGATTTTATGAAACTGGGAAATTCTTTGAAAAATGGTTAAATCTTAATAATGAAAACAACTATCTTCTTCGATAAAGATCTATTTAAAAAAGAGAAGGTTACGAGAGTCGTTAGCTCTAAGAATAAGCTTCAAAATGAAAAAATGAACAGTTTATTCTATTTCTTGAAATAGTCAAATGACGTTAGATGTGTGAAAAGTTCTTCAATGTTTCCGATATATACTGTAAAATTGTTATTGCTCCGACAGACTCTAAGAAATTGAACTGAAATTTTTTCGACGTGTGTGCTAAGAAGATACCCCAATATATCTATAGAGTTTCAGCTCAATATCATATAATCGGTCGGAGATCCAATTTTGAAAAGACAACAGACCGAAATTGATAAGAGTTTCGATCTTGAGAGAAATAAGAACTTTCTTAATTACAACTCATCAATCGCATGTGCTCTTTGTGGATCCAAGATTTTAAATATATATAATTTTCATTTATTTTATAGTATCTTTTCTACACTAAACTTCAAATTTAAGATTCAAAATAATTCAAGCTGATCATATTGCTCCTGTTTTCGTGTTATTAATCGATCGTAAGGTTAGTACTATGTAGTGTTCAAAAATCTTGACAAATTTTTGTTTACTTACAAATTGCAAAAACAGATTTTGTAATAAAATATCATCGCCTTTAATACGAATGGATTCATAATATGTCATATATTAAAAATGAGTGGATCAAAAAAAAACAAAAGAATGGTGATCCAAATCATGTTTAGTAAATTGCTAAACTATTAATACAAATCATTAATTGTATATTCTTACTTTCGATTGAATAGTCCTCGATTTTCATATTATACTTTAATCAGTATTTGTAACATTTTATAACAGTTTAAGTATTTCTCTATATTAGACAAGCTCTTCAAATTATCATAGACTAAAAATACGAATAAATTTAAACGATCTTATAAATGAGTTGATAATATGAAACTCATACAAACAGCTTGATCCCAATTGAGCTGAATTTTTGCCTATCAATAAACCTTCTTTCTAAATTTACGACGATTTTATTGAGTTTTCAGCATTTAAGCAAGATATTGATTTTAGACATCGAATTTCGATCTGAAATTTTTGGTCAAAATAAATACTTTCTGTTCGGGATATCGGATTTTTAAATACCATTCATATTTCATAAGAATGTCTTGAAAATCGAGTTTTCCAAGTATGGACGAGGACGGATAAGGGCACTCTTTGCCAGCAACAAAATGAACTCTTTTGTATCGATTTGAAGTAGGACATGATACCTGATGATATTCCACATGTATGAGATTTCGAGACTATTATTTTAGACTGAAAAACGGATTTTTTTTATAGCGGATTATGTTGTTAAGGAACGTTTATACTTCATATTGGAGTAAACTACGTTATTTTAGCTATTGTGAGTTTTTTTCATGACATTAGAACAATCAATGGAAAAGATACATCAACGAAAAACTGGATATAAAGCTCAAGGAATACCTGATAAGGATTGTTTTTCTTGTCTAATAAAACGTATTGAGTCGTTAATATACTGATATTCGTAACCAGTGCACTTGACTCTATTCACGAATATACGTTTCAACGGAATCAAAGATAAAAAGTTTTCTAGCAATCTCCATAGGGGACAACAGGTCTCAAAAATCTTTTGATCAGCTATACAAAACTTAACATGTGGAATATCATTAAATATCATGTCCTATGCAAATCGACAAACAAAAAAAATTAATTTTGTTGAAGACAGAAAAATGATCTTATTCGCTGTAGTCCTTCTATATTTCAAGAAGGAATCATTTATTTTGTTAGAGACTGTGAAGATCTTGTAATAATTATTAGACATACATATAGACAAAATCTGAGATCGAAATTCGATGCCTCCATCAACACCTTACTAAAATGCTGAAAAATCAATCAAATAGCTATAACTTTATTTTCAATCTATAGAACAGCATTACGAAAAAAAAATTCATACTTTTGAATATTCTATGACGATGATGCGTTTTAAAATAATTTTATCTTATACAGTAACAGATAAAAAGACGTTCGACCTTCTCCTCTTTTGATTGCTGAAAGTTGCATATTGATAACTGTTGCTGTTATCGAATTATCGAGCTTACACCCACTTCTCTTTAATTCTGGCACAGACATTAATAAGCACGTATGAATGTAACTACAAATAATTATAGACAAATTCGAATGATTGAACAAAGTTTTTTGAGCCAATATATTGTAGATATATGAGAACAATTTCATTTTAATAAGAGATAAATAAAAAAAAATCTATATTCTTGCATGGAGCAACGTACACACTACAAAATGGCAACAATTTGTATGCCTACACAGAATCGTTTTGGTAATAATTTTCGAAAATACAATCTTTTTACATTGACATGTAAAATTTAGAAAAATTCTAGTCATCTTACAGATTCATACTAATAACACCTTGTCATTTACATGTAAGTCATATATCTTGTTTAAATACATCAGAGTGTTTTATGCAACTATGTTCAAGGATAAGAATCATGCACAGTTTCATATGTGTTGATTAAAATTTTAAAAAATTGTATTTCCATATATGTGTTTAAATTTATGCATAAGATACTACGACTTGAAAAATATTTTCTAAGTAAAAGCAAGTTTTTGTAAATACTCGTGGTTTTTTAAACTTTCACATTTGACTGGGAATGGTGATATAAAAAAACAAGAAGATAATAGCGATAGCTATAGATGGGATTTAATCTATTTTCCGTAGGATGTAGGTTTCGTCAAGATATGAGATGTTACTAATTTTTTGTTTTTATTAATTAATTATTAATATTAAATAAAATAAAAGAAGAAAATTTGTTTATATAAAAAAAAAAAATTTCTTAATTTTCATTTTAAAAGAATAATTTTATTTAAAAATAAATTTTTCAACAATATAGTTATTAATTCATATAGTCACGAAAAGTATATTTTACCTAAGGGTATAGATTTACTATTATTCAATTATAAATAGATTGTTTTTTTTCAATATGAATCTACTTTTTTAATTATATTATTTGCATTCATATAAATATAATGACAACAGTTAATCATGCTATATTGTTTATTATTTTTCTATCGTAATTGAAAAAAATTGGATTATTTTAATTATACAAAAAAAAAAGAAGAAATCAATATAAATAATTTATTTATATTTATTTTTGATAAATAAAAAGAAATATCTCTAAAAATGAAAACTGAAAACTATATTTATTTAAAATTATTTATTCAATTGAACTAAAAAGATATTTTTATTTTGATGTTGAATTATTGTTTAAGAAAAATTTAAAAAAAAAAAATTATTTAATTAATCGAAATAAAAGATTCTATAGGTGAAACTTTGTGTATATGATGCAATGAATAAATAAGATAGCGTGATTATGCAAAGCAATTATGTATTCATTTAAAAAAATAACCGATAAGAAATTTTCATATGTTATTATTTTAATTAATTATTTCATTTCTGTTCAATATAAATTTTATTTTACAAAAACAAAAGATTTTTTTAGACTTCTTGATTATTCAATGTGAAAACTATGGAATATTTTATACAGGTTTTCATATATTATCAGAACTGAATATTCAAGTATATTTGAAAATTATGTATGGCGAAATAAAATCAAGAGATCTCTAGGAGATATACATGTGTCACAGGTTATTTCATAGAGAGAAAATATGAACATATTTAACAAAAAAACAAACGATTTTTTACTTCGTAGTGCTTTCGGTATTTTTATCTCTAGAAACGATTAATTTTCCATTATAGCATGATAACGACTTTGTTGAGATATTTCGTTTATTTTTCTTATACGAGTCCAATATTTGAATAAATTGTAAAGACAAATTTTAAATAATTGATAATAAATGTTCGAAAGATAATTTTGTGGACTTTGTTTTTTTTTTCTTTGAAAAACCAGATAGAATCTTTTTCGAAAATAATTGTTATTTATAAACTTTAAACTCACATAACTTATCTTTATATTGTCTGACATATTTAAATATTTATTCTTTAGCATTTTTTATCATATTCAATTCATAATAACAAATCTAGGTCAAGTGAATTGAGTTAATTTTTTTTACACCTCTCATATTCTTAGAATTACTTGCAATATCATCCCACACAAAAGCAAAGAAAGTACAAGTTCTTTTTTTTGTTCGTTTCATTCATAATTATTTTATCGATTCTCAACATTTAATTAAATTACATAAAAAGAAATACTTCTTTTCAATTAATACTTCCTCAAATAAACATAGTTGTGAATCTATAAAAATAGAAATAGTATTCTAGATTTTTTTGTCCTTTCAAAATATAAAAATATATATAGAATGAAACCTGATTTTACTTCATTCTAATATTATAAACTGTATAATAATTATTTTCAGGTAAAAACAAAAATTAATTATATATAATGAAGAAAAAAAAAGAATTGTTTTTTCTATTGATTATAAAGAAAAATTATTTTTTAAGGTAGGTTTGATTTATTTTGAATATTAATGATAATTTTTATACATTTAAATATAACTGAATTTATACTGAATATGAAAATATATATTTTTGCATGACGAATAATCTTCCATCTTTGTTCATGACCTTACACATCATTGAAGATGAGGAGAATAAAGAAGAAAAAAAAATAGACTATGTTAACACTAAAAGTCCATTAGATGTTAGAATTCTATCGACAGGACCGGATGCATCCTAAATGTATTCTTCTAATGTTGTCAAAGTTTTTCTTTTCTTTTTCATATGAACTCATATAATATTCTTCAAAATCAATCAAAATATAAATTTCAATATTCAAAAGAAAAATAAAATTATTATTATTATTAATATTGGTATATTTCTATCAAATGAAAAAGTTCAAGTAAGTTTATCAATAAATGAAAATAACATTTTATTCATATATTAATTTCACTTAAAATACAATAAACATATATATGATATTTTACTTTTTATTTTTGTACGGAAATAGATTTTTTTTACCTATAAGGTTATATTTAAGTTGCTCTATGATTAGACCTTTTCTTTTTATTGTGTCTTTTGACGACATTCAAAGATTTTTATAATAAACGGATATTATAGTCTCGATTATAATTATACGCTTGAGAACACTGGAAAATAAAAGTATATAGAAAAATCAGTATAGTGTATACATACATTTGTATAAATGTCTAATGTAGACATATGGTTTGCTAGAAGCGTATAAACAGCAATGATGAAGCCTGACGTAAAAGAAACAAAACTACTTATCGATCGGGCTATTCTTTTGATTGAAGTCAGTGAAAATAAAAAAAAAGAAAAGGAAACGTCATTAAGTTCATCATAATCATTAATCACCTGATGACTTTTATTTATTACTATGTTGTATATTAAGAAACATGAAAAAAGATTCGAATGCAAGTTGAATGTTAGTTATGTTGAAGATTAGGCTTTATACGTAAGAAAAGCGAATGTCATCAAGATAATATAAATATATAAATGTTTTGGTATGTATTAAATGAAGACAGTTTTTGGATTGTTCCCATCTCTTTGTTTTTTTTATGTTCTTTCTGCTTTTTTCTTCTCTCTCTCTCTAAATATTACTGGTAATTATTGCGGAATGGTACTAATATATGTTGTAAAAAAAAACTGTATGGGAACATAAACAAACGATAATAAAAATGGTTGCGTGCGCTCGCAAATTAAAGATAACAATATGGAGACTAACAACGATACGAAGAGAAAAAGACACCAATGTTACAAGAATTATCATATAAGTCTTGTACAAATCGTTTTCTTCTAGATTTTTTTTTTTTTCTTGATGATCAAATAATCATTTTAATATTTTGAAAATCTATTAAGATTATATTAAATATGAAAAAAATTCGTAAATATTTAAATCAAACAATTAATGTTAATAGTAACAAACAAATTTCTACGTTATCAACTAATTCTATGGGCGGATATTCAACGTAAGTTGTCAGTTCGACATATTAATGATCAGCTAGTTACAATAGATCTTTAGTTTATATATTTGACGAATTGATTGTGACACATATTTTGACATAAGATAACGACAAAACAGCATGAAAATTAAATTGTTGTCTAGCAAATAACTTTGTTATATGTTCGTCATTTTGACAACATATGATTTGTATATCAAGAAAAAAAACAAATAGACAGACAGATACATACGTTTTTAATTTGATATTAGAAAGTCAAATGATGAGAAATATCTGTCAAAATATATTTAGTAATAATAAAATTTGTTGAAAAGAAAAATAGAAAAATGACAAAAATATTTTTTTTTTCCTTAGTGTCATTTTATTTTAAATGTCATATTGCCGAAATACATTGTTGTTATTTCGTATCTTTTATAGTAACAAACTTTATTATGATGTTCTACTAAAGAGTAATAATAACATGTTGAAGACTTATTTTTTCCTTTTTTTTTTTTTTTTGCTTGTCTTCGTATTATTTATAAGTTATAATCATAATTTGTTTTCTTTAGTCTTAATTTATAGTAAGATCATAAAGCTAAGAAACAAAAACAATTTTAAATTCGAATATTTGTAAAAGAAGAAAAGAGAAAAAAAAACAAAAGAACTTGAAAAGTCCTTGTTCTTCGTTGTCTTTCCGTTTTATCATAGTCGATGAATCGTTTTGATCTGTTACTCATATCTTTATGCATGAAATAGACGAGCATTGTGTTGGTTGGCAGATGTGTACGTCTCTTGCTAACATCATTTTGTTTGTAGTACGTCTATAAAAGACAACGAAAAAAAAAAAAGAAGAAGAAGAGTGTCTCCCATCATTTTCTGGCATTTTGCGATTAATCGTTGTTCCTGACATTTGACAAAGAAGTTGATCGTCACTCGTCTTTTATGCTTATTTATTGTTCTTGTTTTGTGTATCGTTCCAATGTTACGCTTTCTATTGCTTGGCAATCTCAAGGGAAAAGTCGAGTGTTACATGAGCACGCATTTGGTCGTTCGTTATATTAACTAACTTCCAATCTCTTCTTCTTTTTTTTTTTGGTGTCCCTTGTGTTTCTAAAGACATTGTCAAAAGCAAATTGATGAAAAATCAAATAATTGTTGTCTATTGAATAATCGATATAATAAAACAGCATCAATCTAATAAATCGATATAACAACTACCATTGTGTATACGTTTTTTTTTTCTTTTTTCCTTTGTTTTTTTTTAATATTTTTAATGAAATCCTATCGTTTGATTTAATTTATGTAATTTTTTTTTTCTTTGGTAAATAATTATGCATCAAACGACATATTCGATTAAAGTGAAACAACCCACTTTATGGACTGTGTAGGTAGATATTTATTGCATGAAAATTTTTCCCTTGGTTTTTCTTTCTTTCTTTCTTTCTTTCTTGTTTATTTGGAGCATGAATATATATATTATAACAATAAGAGATTAAATCGGCTTTTTGTTCGTTAGATTTGACGTCTTTTTTTCTTCCAAGAAGGAAGTGTCAATTTTTTAAAGTTCAGATAATTATTTAAAAAAAGACAGAGATATAAAGATAATATATAATATGCACTATTTACTTTCTTTTTTTGGACCGAAGAATAAAAAATGATAAATATCATTTTTTTTTGGTCTGCTTTATCTTTCGTATAACAGATTTTGCATACGGCCTTAGTCCAAAAAAAAATAATTCGATTTATTTTTTTCTATTCTTCAATGAAAAAGAATAAATAAATTTTTTTTCAATATATATGAAATATATTTTTAACCTAAGATAAATATAGTCTTTGATATTGATAAAATATCCTATCAGCTGAGTGTTATTTAGTTGATTATTCTCTTTATCATTTTTTTTATTATATCTTGGTCTTTCTTCGTCTTTTTTTTATTTTTATATATATTTTTTTTTCTCTCATTTTTACTCATCCTCCATGTAAGCTGTCTAATATCGATTCGAATGAAAGAGGGACGACAGAAGTAAACCACGCACTATGCACATCCTTCTCGTTTTCCCTCGTCTTTTTCCTTATCTCGCCATCATGCATAATAATGTGCGGCATGCATGTGTATGCTACCGACGACTATCATCATAGTGCCATTTCGGTAGTTGCTTTCGATTTATGAGTCTTATGAACCCGATATATAGATATATAGATATATAGATATATATATATATATCTTTTATTGAAAGGATCTTAGTTATGTCTGGATTTGAGGTTAAATATAATGCGAATTTTGTCAGATGGATAGTTTAATCAAACTTTTTGTATTGAGAGTTTAAAGCAGCTGGTTATAGAAAAGAAAAATGCGTATAATAGAGTGAGAGAGAGAGAGAGATTTAGTCTTATCATAGTTGATTTCATAAATCATAACATAAAAAAAATGATGAATATCACCGATACTACCATTTTCGTTATAAACATCGAATTCTTCTATCCAACACGATGACTTTGACTTTGACTTTCTATTTTTTTGTTATCTTTTTTTTAAACTTTTTTTTAGCTCACCTGAATCATCAAGGTCACCCCCTCCACTTCATTCAACAATATCAACGAATAGTTGTCAGTCAACAGTATCAACACCAACTGAATCATCATCATCGAATCGTTCATATCTTCGTTTAAATAAATCCTTATTTCCATTGATTTCGATATCAAATCACTCAACACAACGTTCATCACCAAAATCTTCTAGATCACCACCTTTAAGTGCTGATTCAACAAAACGTAGTTTTTTTCGTTTTAATTCAACACCATCAAATAGTGGAAATAATTTTCTAAATACAAATAATCCTTTAAATACAAATTTAACTATGGGTCAAACAGGTAGTAATGTTAAACGAAGTCAAAGTGATATACAAACATTTCTTGATAAAGAAAAAGAAAAATTTATGGAAAAAATGGAAAATCCTATTAAACAAAATGCTCGTTTAGAAGATTTTGAATTAATACGTACAATTGGTACAGGTTCATTTGGTAAGAAGAAATTCACGGAAAAAAGAAGATTATTTAGATTTCTCTTTTTTTTTCTTTTTTGTTAATCTATTAGGTCGAGTACTATTAGTTACACATCGTACTAGTGCACATGAAAAAACAGCTTTAAAAATACTTGATAAACAAGTTGTTGTTAAAATGAAACAAGTCGATCATACATTAGCAGAAAAAAGAATTCTGCAAGCTTTATCATGTCCATTTATTGTTAAATTATTACATACATTTAAAGATAACTCTTATTTATATTTGGGACTTGAATATGCACCCGGTGGTGAAATGTTTACACATTTACGTGCTTTTGGACGTTATACAGAAGATATGACGAGATTTTATGCTGCCCAAATTGTACTTGCTTTTGAATATCTTCATCATTTGGGTGTTGTAAGTTTTTTTTTTTTTTGGAGAAATATTTTTTTTATTAGAAGAATTTGATTTTGGTTTGTTTGTTTGGTTTTTTTCGATTTAGATATATAGAGATCTTAAACCCGAAAATTTACTTTTTTCTGCTGATGGTTATTTGAAAATGGTATGTTTAGTTAGAAATATAATTTTATGAAAGTTTTTGTTGATTTATTTGTTTTTTATTTTTATAGACGGATTTTGGTTTTGCAAAACGTGTTAAAGATCGAACATGGACATTATGTGGAACACCAGGTAAGATAAAACCACACCATATATTGATAAGTTAAAGATGTCTAAAAGTTTATATAGTTTTGTTTTTTCTTGAGAGAAATCAAATCTTTTTTAATCATTCAATTAGTTCGAATTACGAAATGAAAATTCTTCAAACTCATATATATATATATATTTTTTAAATAGAATATCTTGCTCCAGAAATTATTCTCAGTCGTGGTTATAATAAAGGTGTTGATTATTGGGCATTAGGTGTACTAATGGTCAGTTATTTTTTTTTTTTTATAACTTAAAAAAAATTTCCTCAATTGAATTCTTTTAGTATGAAATGAGTGCTGGTTATCCACCATTTTTTGCTGATCAACCTATACAAATTTATGAAAAAATTGTTTCCGGTCGTGTTCGTTTTCCAAATCATTTTAATGTTGATCTTAAAGATTTACTTAAAAATTTACTTCAAGTTGATTTAACACGTCGTTATGGTAATTTAAAATCTGGTGTACGAGATATAAAAGATCATCGTTGGTTTAAGGATACAGATTTTATAGCTATTTATGAAAAATCTGTTCCAGCACCATTTATGCCACGAACAGATAGAGAAAATTATGAAATATATGAAGAACAACCAATGACAGTAAGCTCAACAGAACGATATCCAAGAGAATTTGCTGATTTCTAGAAGTATACGCTCTGAATATTGATGTGTCATTTTTCGTTTTCCTTTTGTTTTTTGCTTCGTTTTGTTCTTTCATGTATTTATACATAGATATATATGTTTTTTTTTCCTGCAATTGAGCATATTTCATTGCTTCGAAATTTTACTTTTTTTTTCTCTAATGTTTGTTTGTTTTCCTTCGCTCGTGATATATTATTTGTTTTTGAGCGTGTGTTTATTGAAATGAAGAAAAAGAATACAAAATTATTATTAATAATTGATCTTTTAGATTAATATTAATTTATATATCGATTAGTTCTATTTTAATTTAGGTCTAGAAATTATTGATGAATAATAACAATCTTTAAATTATTTATATGTACATATATATATATTGTAAAATGTAGACATTATCAGTTAAAACTGTTCAATAAGATTTGATCAATTTTGAAATACAAAATTTCATTATGTTCATCATTAGGAATACAAAATGAAACATAAAAATATAACGAAGTGTAACAATAAAGTAACCTAAAGAAAAAAAAATCAGGCAGATAAAAGCATTTCTATTTGTTTTTCATTTACTAATATATTCTTAACAGATATAATAATACAATTTATTGATCCATTCTGTTTTCAAAATGTGAAAAAAAAAATATGTACTCTCTTGTATTTTATTAAGAAAAAATTCCATTTTTTTTTACTCCGATACAATCACTTCGGGTCACCATGCTCTTCAATCAGTTTCATCATACTGCTCTAAGTACACAATATTAGATGGAACCGCTTATCTTCCAGATATAAGACTAGTAGACTATGCTGATAATATCTATCAGTTAGATTCAACTATTATTTATGTAAGTAGATCATCACAAAGTACATGCGAATATTTGTTAACTATCTGGGTTCCGTCTGGACGATATTGAGATTCATAGTTATATTATGCATTCATAACATTTTAATCGAACCATGCTCTTTTTTATGTATGCAAACTCATGTAACTCTTGCAGAGTAATTCATAGAAACTAACATGTATACTATGTTTTGGTTGTCTTTTTTCAATCATAATAATATGATTTTGTTTTTACAATTGATAAGTTTAATCTATTCTTATTTTGAATAATTATTTAACATAGTTGAAAGACATCTCAATTTGTAAAAGGATACTATTATCAATACAAAAATCAGATGAATTAAAACGTACGATTTTTATATTAGACTTCGTATTTTAATGTTTCTTAAGTTCAAGATATTTTCATAGTTGCATGATGTTAGTAGTTGGTAAGATCTTGAGAATAGAACGGAATCTTTTCTGATATTTTCTAATAACAACATACACTGAAAACTACTAACTATTGGAATTTCATGAGAAGGGATTAAAAGTAGTTCAAAAAAAAAATAAGGTGAAAAATCTTTAGCTTAGATCGAAATTAATTTCTAATACCGGACTAACTTTTCGTGCATATATTAAATTTATTCAACATAATCTAAGGCTCTCATCGTACGATAAGAAAATATTAGTTCAATATTTACAAGTGAAATTTTGACGACAACAAGAAATTTGTCACTTGGAGACTCTCAGGCTCAAATCTCTTAATCATTAAAACCATAGAAATCGTTAAAAAATAGTAAAATATGTCAACTTTAGTGTCCTAAAAATCAATAAAAAAAACTCATCCGATCCAGTTCCATGTCTACCGTTGGAGGTACTTAATACAATACATTAATAACATCAGTCAATCGTATTCAATTGATGTCTTTAAGTGGAATAGTTCAAACTATATTTGAGTACAGAATACTAATGCATGATTTCAAATGCCTCGAAGATAGAATGATAAGACTATGAAAAAAACAACTAACTGCTTTTTTTTTTATTTGTTTTTCTTCTAGTCAAGTCTTCACATGTTTATAATAAATTAGTAACAACATCGTATGTTATATATTTATTTTATCAAATGGATTCTGCACAGTTTCCAGGTGGACAGCAAATAATTGTATTAGGATTAAGATTTATTATTGTTATATTACATATATATCTTCTTGTCTTGTTTTTTTTTCTTTTATTCTTTGGTTGAGTAAAATGGAAGAAAATGTGCTAATGAAACAAAAGATAAGCTTATGTGATTTGCATTATAATTCAAAGTCGGATCATAGTATTATGATTGTAAAATTATTGGATCATAGTAACTAGAGAAATGCATATCATAGTTGTATAGTCAATTGTATTTGTTTTTCTCTCTGATATGGATGCCAAAAAAAAAGAGGAGAATCATTTCATTGACTATTCAAAATGAATGAATTTAAGGTTAATAAGATGAAATATTCCTACGAAATATAAAATTTCGTATTTAAATATGTTTGATTAGACATGATTATTTTTCATGTAAAAATATATATACAGATCTTAATTTTTTATTAGTTTTTAAAGAAAATGAATGAAGACTTTCTCTAGGTTATTTATTTATTTTGGATGTGCACGGAGAATAATAAGCCAAGCAATAAGAAAATAAAATAAAAATATTGGATAGAGTACAAGCATTCGACGATTTGGATGTTGAATTTGTCCAAGAAAACGTGTACTAGCATACATTGTCCAAGCAAATGCAGCCATAACAATTAAAAATCTTATTATATGTAAAATAGGTATTGATGAGCTTGTTGAGATATATAAAAGTATATTATTTATGAATGCTGCTATTAATAATGGTAATAAACAATAACCGAGAACACAAACAGATTGAAAAAATGAGATTTTTCCGCCGAGTAATTGTGAATTAACCTAGAAATTAAAAAGATTTCTAAAGATATCGAATGAAATTTAAGATTTATAAGTTTTGTATTTCTTGACTTCTTTTTTTTTATTGTGTATTAAAGTATTAGCGGAAAGTTTTTAGATAAGATATTTGTTCACGTTTGATCTGTTAGAAAGTATCAAAATCTGTGAGTTAGGATGCTCTTTTCGAATATGAATGTAGAAATTTTGTCTCAGTGAAATATTCTTTGAAAAGCTCAAAAAATTAATTTGGACAAAACTTGTGAATCGACGTTTTTTAATCCCTTTTCGAACATGCTAAAAACTATCGGAGTCAATCGTTTTATAGAATAAACATTTCTCTACAAAATGTGATATTGAAATAAGCTGTAGCTTTTACTCAAGAATTTTTCTTTAAAAAGTTCGATGAAAAAAAAAAAAAACTTCAAATAGTACATTTTATAGGGTAGTGTCTGATCTACAAGCTGATATATATATATATACAAAGATTCCAACTTTTAGTTTCAAATTGTAATAGTAGAATTACAAAAATTTGTCGTCCAAATTAATAATTTTTGATACTTTCTAATAGATCAAAAATGAACAAACATCTTGTCTAAAAAAGAATTTTCGACCATCCATTAGCATTCAAATAAGTAATATCTGTTATGTGATATTTAATTATATTCAGTTAATAGGATTATAGATGATAGATAAAGAAACAAGTACAAAACAAGACACATGTTTTTTTTGTTTTTTTTGATAGGAGAAATATTTAATTTGCTACGTACATAATGAAACATTACATTCTTACAAACGATGTATTATTCTTATCATTTTCAAATATGCTATTAAATTTTGATAGATAAAAATATACAAATCGTTATACTAGGCATCTATGTCGAATTTTTCTTAGAATTGGAAATTGACGAGTTTTGAAAAGAAATCATTTATGAGGAAAAGGTAATTTTTTGCTAGTAAAAAATTTGTAATTTGGATTTTAAAATCTATTTAGGAGATGATCCATATTTGTATTCATTCTTCTGATACATCATTAAACATTGTTCTGAATTATATAAATCAAAATTAATTCTCAATAACTAAAGATTTGATCGTAGAGAGAGTAAGATGAATTTATTGTTTTTTTTTTTAAATTATTCAAAATGGAAATGTTAATTCATTCTGAATTATATCTGATTATATTTACGACAATAAGAGAAATCTATCGAATAGATTATTTAATTTCGTATTCTATATAAGACATTAGAAAATTTAAACATTGTTTAGAACAAAAAATTTTCAAATACTCAAGAAAATTACAAAAATTCTTTCTGACATGTCATGGCGGATTTTTTTTTCTGCATATTCCAGAAAAAAAAATTTGACAGATGAAGAACATCTGTCTTATACATTCTCATTATTTCTTATGACTTTAATTTAAAAAAAAGTCTTCTTCATGGTGTATTTAATTTTTAAAAATGGGGCTATTAAATTTTTCTTGTTAAAAATTTCATAACATACAGTGACAGCAATAGATCCAATTAGCATTAATGTAAATACTTCAGCAAATTGCACACCAGTACTAGATTTTGTGGCATTACTTTGAAGAAGAATAGCTAATGTTGTAATTAAAATAAGTGGTCCCCATAAATCCCATTGTTGTAAAAGTGTTGTCGATTGACGTGGAATAACAGCATAACCAAATTTACGAATAACAGCACTAAGATCACCTTGAAAAGTAAATAGAAATAGTTTTCTTTCTTTCTTTTTTTTTAAATTCTAAAACTACAAACGTTTTATTGTATCCAAAACTGGTTCATCAAGTGTTGATAATTCATTTTGATTAGTTCGATTTGAAGTTGATGTCATATCACCTTCCATCATATCAATTGTTTGTGAAGTTGAACTAAGGAATGGTACTTGATCACTATCAATTGATGCAGCCATGATTTGAATTACTTCCAAAAAAAAACAAAAAATAACAATAAAACTAATGATTGGGAATTGAAACTATTGACTGGCACATATATGAGTCATTCAAATCTTCTTGTATTTTTCATCATGATGGAGAACTAGGAGACAAAAATTCATTGGTGTAGAACATCTTCCAATGAATTATTAAAATAATACAGGTATGGATTAGCTGTACAGTGTAGTTCATCCCTTGATTTCTTGTATTATTCGCATGTTTTTCTTTCTATAATAAATAGATGTAAAAGCAAAAAAAAAAGACGACAAATATTTGTATAAATATTTATAAAATAAAGATAGATTTATTCTAGCATGTAATGAGAAGACGCGTCAGAATTACAATCAAGTACGACTTTAGTAGATGTCCCAGTATGAATACAGAAGTACATACTAGATTATCTTTTTCTAAAAACAAAAGATATTTTTTCTTCTGTTTTACTAAATGGCATAGCATTGCATGAAAATGAACGATTACATCAGAGAAAGAAAACATTCCCCATTTCAGAATATATTTCTGTATTCATCATAGAAAATCTTAAAAAAATGACGTAGGAAGTTTCAACACCTCGCACTCTTCTAATTATCATATCTCTGAATATTTTATGTTGTAGGCAAAAACACGTAGCAATTCTTATCTTAACAGAAAAAAAAGTGTTACACTGTATGAGTTGATAAACATTGGAAAGAAAGATAGAAAGTATATTTTATTTTTACAAATTAAAAAAGAAATAGATATATATATATATAATAATTCAAAATATTTTCTAGATAAAAATAATTTAGAAAAGAAAATTGTTATGTTTTGAATATATTATTTTTAATTCATCGAAATATTACTGATTTTATATCAATTAAAAAATTTTAAAAGAATTTGAAATTTCAATATTTTTTTTACTTCATTTTGCTATGAAACAATATCTAACCTTCTCTATGCCTATGGATATAATAAAACGCATCTAAGATTATCTATTAATGATAAATAATTTCTTCCTCTAGTTGTTTCCTATAGTATTAAAACCCGACAATATGAACGTCAGTTATTATTGATAAAATAATACTCATATTTTTAATATTAATTAAAACAGATAATATTTATTTTGTTTTTTTAAACAAAAGTTTAGAAATAATTTTTATTGTATTTTAATATAGATCTTAAGTTTAATTCTTATTGTGTTTACAAAATTGTTTCATTTAATTATTATTTTTTTTGTTGTTGTTAATAATCATTCTTTAATGTCAAATTTTATTAGAATATCCATAATTATATTATGTTAGATAATACACAAAATTAAACAGATTAGATTTATTTTCTATCTTTATATAATATTATCTTTGATTAGTTCTTAGATATAATGCATTATTCTTAATACAATTATTTATTATTTAATTCTTCATGTATAAAGAATCTTTTTGTATTTTTGTTTATTTTATACATCAAAATATATAAAATAAAAATTTACGACGTAATTCAATAAATCATTAAATAATATAGTTATAATTATCAAATACATCTAGAATACAAAAATAGATGAAATATTTTTAATAAGAAAATATATTTGAAATCATATAGGATTATTGGTAAGGTTAAATTTCGATCAAAAATTAAACTTCTAAAGTTTGTATCAATTTTTTAGATAAGATGTTGGTACTTATTGAATTTAATTATTCGTAAGTTTACAGTAATTTTGTTATTATCAAATAGATAAAGATCAATCAATCAATCATTGATTACGCTTTGTGCCATGAATAATTGAATATTAAAGATCAGATTTAAGAATATTATTTAGGTCTATTATTGCACATAAAGTATATCAGTTAACTTTTTCACTATCGGATAAAGTATACTAATTAGACAGTAAAAGAATGATTTTCATACAAAAAAAATTTTCTTAGTCACAAAGTTTTGAAGATTATTTATGATACAATATTTAATCTGATATTATATTCTTTTTAATGATAATAAATGGCAACATTTTTTTTTTTACATAATCGAATTTACTTTTAGTCAAGCGTTAACAGTATGAATGATAAAAGAGAATTAGAAACTGATCAACAATATGTTAAAAATTAGTAACATTTCTCTTATCATTATGATCAAATAGGTAAGCACATTTTATATTATATTATTATTGATTTTTCTAATGATATAATCTGTGATTTTGGTTTATTAATAGCATTAGTATATGCTCGTCTTATTGATTTTACTTTATGTGAATAATGGTTTTTCAGTTGAGAATTTCGTGTCAGGAAAAAATTCTTTTGTCGTTTGAAGGATAAATGATTAATATATAGATATATATTTTTTAATTTAGAATCATCCTTAGGTTTAAAATGAGGCTTTACTTATTGAATATTAACCAAGGGAAAAAGTACACGTTTGAAACTCTCAGCACTTTTTGATACTGTGGTGCTGGTACGTACTTGAAATCAGACTGGAATGTATGAGAATTATGCTATTTTAATTTGATTTTTTCAATCAAGATAAGATTATTTTTTGAAAATAATTCTTTTTTTTAAATAAAACTTGACAAAAGATCTTCGAGATTGAGGAATGCGAAACCTTCAGTCACGTTTTATAAAAACTCGAATTGAAATCGTATGACTCTCACTTATAACTATCACCTTAATTTCTACTCTAATTTCAAATATATATAAGCACCACGACATCTTCAGTACCTTGTAGTAAAACTTAGTGTTCACTTACTTCCTTCATATTACTATAGTTTATATTCATAGAGAATATATATATATATACGGAACGTTTTTGTTGACCTTTTTTTTTTGTTAGTGGATAATTTTGTGTCAAGGAAATATGCAATAAATAGTAGAAAAAGTCATTGGATATCAATGAAACAATATTCATAAGAAGTAACAAGCCCATCCAAAAAGACAATCAATGTTTTGTTAGACATTGATATTAATTGGTTTTTGTTTTTAGCTGTCTAAAATAAATAGTTGTTGATAATAGTTACAAACAGTTGTAAAAACGGTCAATCAATTATCTAAATAATGACATTTACTAAAAGATTGTTCTGCTTATAACTTTTTTTTCTTATCATTGAAGTAACAATTGCTTTAGTATTCGATATTATTATAGTATACATAGTAATAAATATGTTTATAATAAAGATCTATCTTGTATATTCATAAATTTAATTGAATCTCTTTTTTTGTTATTATTGCATTTCTATAAAATCGGATGTTTCAAAAAGAAAATTGATTTATATATTTTCTAGATAATGATTTCTGATTTAATCATCATTATCATAATTATTTGTTCTTTTCAATTTTATTCAATATTAACAAATGATATTAAATTAATTCAAACAGAAGAAAATATTCTCTATTCACATTTAAAAACTTCATCAGATTTAAATTTATTCTATCAAAAACTTCTTGAATCTAATGATATTGATGATATAACACGTATTCATCGTATTATAACTGAAGATGATATTCAACAACTAAATTTTGAAAATAAGGTAAGTAACGAAATCCATTTTAATGAAAAAAAAACACACACGAGATGAATTATTGCTTTATACTGTGCACACTTTGCATCAAGGTCACATTATTATGTATACAAAAGGCACTCGAAAAAAAAACATTTGTCGCCAGCACTTCAGATAATTACCCATGTGATTGAAATCGAACAAAAAAGTCAGTAAATCGTTTGGTATAATGTGCACTATACTGACGATAGTTTGATACTTAAATGGTCGTCTATCTCATGACTCTCATTCAACCGCGGTATACTGATGATAGTATGGACAAATGTGCAGCATGAATAGTCGATATTTAACTTTTGACAGCAAAAGAAAAGTCATTAGATTTGTAGAAAATACTAGACTTGAATGTGATTTTCTTCTAAAAATTCATTGGTACTTCATGTTTTCTGTGATCTTGCATTGTCATGATGGAAATTGAGATCTGAAGGGCTTTTCTTTTATTTTCTCTACTAATATAGTTTGAAAGCTTGTACTAGACAGTGATTGACAGACCAACATTTATTTGCTAGGTGGTAATAATATAGATGTGATTAAACTAAATTTCCTGAAGAAAATTCTCAAAATTTGTTTGTTTGATTAATTTTTTTTCGACGAACCTGGATTATTCGTTGATTAGCTTTTAATGATCCGAGTTCTGATTACTCTCGTTATAATAAAACTGTGATTTATCACTAGTAATAATGAAGAATACAAGTTAGATATTGATCTCTCTAAATCTATTCAATAAATGACAAACCCCACAAATATGAAACTACTTTCAGTGAACTATGAGTTAATATGTGATGCATCGAACATAAAATTTTTTTTTATAGAAATTTAAATAGACACGAATGATTGAAATAATTATCAGCGTATTCTCTATTTATTCGTATGTTAAACTATTGTTGGAACAGTATTAAAAATTCTTTGGTTACAACAGTTGGACAGGTGATCTCTAAATAAACAGTATCTTCAATACTAAAATTACTCTTTTAAAATTAATAAAAATAAATCAGCTAGTACACGAGCTGAAGATGTTAAGTTCTCTCATGCTAAACAGGCATGGATATTTCTGTAAATTAAACGAATTCATGAGTCATATAAAATCCTACTTCAAAAGTATTCTCGTTAGAGTTGAAAATTCAATTAGAGAATACTCCAAATATATTTAAGAATCATTGTACGAAAGATACAATCTATCGGCATAGTCGAGTATGCAATAAAAATTTTGTATTCACATGAAATTTATTTCATCTTATAGAATATAATGTTGTAGGTGAAGAATCAAATTTTTATTTGTAATTTTCAGTGTTTCAACTCTTCCGATGATCTATTGAATGCATTTAATATTAAAGCAGATAATATCACTGATAATTTAAATCGTAGTGATATATATCAATTATTACCAGTTTTATTCAATGTTAAATTTAATGATGGATGTATAAAATCAGGAGGAGGACGTGTTACATGGAAAAGTATAGGAGAAAT